AACTCTCCCTAAAAGCCAAGATGACTAAACTGAAAAATTGGACATATCATGAGAAGACATGGCTCACTAGAAAAGACAGTACTATCTAGTAATGTAGAAGATACCAGGAAAAGATGAAGAATGTGTTACAGGTAAAAGATAATGGTAAGTTTAGTTGTGTCCAACTCTGGGTGGTGGTGCTCATCTCCATTTCTAAGCCGAAGATGTGGCATTGTCCGTAGACACCTCCAAGGTCATGTGGTCAGCATGACTGCATGGAGTGCCGTTACCTTCCTGCCGAAGCAGTGCCTATTGATCTACTCACATTTGCATGTTTTCGAACTGCTAGGTTGGTAGAAGCTGGGGCTAACACTGGGGCTCACCCCGTTCCCCAGATTCGATCCGCCAACCTTTTGGTCAGCAAGTTCAGCAGCACAGCTCAGCTAGTTCAGAGGGCACACATTACAGATAGGTAGATTCAATCAAAGAAGCCATAACCCTGCATATGGAAAACCAAAGAAGGGTGAATTGGAGATCTTCTCATTCATAGGGTCACCATAGTCAAAATCAACTTGATGGCAGTTAACAACTAATAACAACAACTCTGTGCAGAATGATCAAACTAATTAAACAAGCTTATGCTAAGAAATATAGGAGAATAATTTAGTCTTGTCTGCTCAGTAATATCAAGTTAATGCTCTTTTTCAATATGAAATTATAACACTTTCCGGCCTTGAAAAAAAAATCCTGACTTCTGATCTTTGGAATGTCCCTTAATTTTTGTGATGCAACTTTATGCTATACACTTTTGATTACCAGTGATGAGTTGATTAGATCTCTTTGTTGGTTAATCATTTTCTTCCCATTTGCCTAAATTAAAAGGCAGTAACTGGTACCGCGTGGAACGTTTTTATCTGTAATTTACTGTACCACAATCAAGGCCATGATGAGTTTCTCTTAGTTAACAAACTCTTGCTGTGTTCCTTTAGAATTCATTGACCTCAAACAGTTGTCTCTAGTGACAACTAAAGCAGGTAATAAAATTGAAAGATGCAACTCTGGCTAAAGTGCCGCACTAGAGACAAGAATCACTGCTACTTATTTCAATTCCTTTAAGAGAGGAATGGAAGTCACAGTGCCCTTGAAATTGTCCTTAATTACAACTCACACTATTCGTGACCATCGGCTATGCTGTGCTAACTGGAAATTACAGCCCAATAGCATCTTAACGGTTGCATCTTATTTTAAGAGAACCTTTCTGTATGCAGATACTTAAGAGAGCAGCAGACAAAAAAAAACCCCTTAAACTGTCCGCATCCTAACTCCTGCTAAACTAAACTGCTTCGGGCACGACTTGCAGTTGTCAATACAACATCTGGTGGTGTCGCTATACACCCAGACACCTCCCTTTATGCTCTTCCCCTCCAAATTTCTTCATTTTGAACAAAACAGATTTTACTTACTAATGGCTAAGATGTTCTTAGAACAGAGATCGGACCTTATTAGTCTGATTTTCAGATTTTTTTACAACATAAACCCAAAGACATGTTGAAACGAGCTATAACAAGCAGTAGTACATAAATCACAGATTTCGCAACTTGTGTAATACAACATGGAACATATATATTGAAAAAATCACTGTGCATATCACAGACTTATGTCCTCTGTATATTGCTCATTGCTGTATTATATAAGTTGTACATACATTCAATGATGTATTACATAAGTTGCAAAAAACATTTACCTCTGTGATTTATGTACTACTGCTTGTAGTGGATTTGTGTCTTTGCAATTTTGGGAATCCATTGTCTTTTGAGAAACGAGCTATTATCCAGTATTCCTGCAATTTGTCCAGATTTTAAAAACAAATTAAAAATCATGCTTCTACATGAGCTGTTAGTTTTCGATGTATAACTTATTTCTGACTGTCTTGCAAACTATATGCAAGTATGCAGGCTCTCTCCTGTCCTCTGTAATATATAGTCTATGCCCGTTGATCACCGGTTTTCTCCTTGTACATGAAACAAGTCTTTAAAGGAAGTATCCAAGGTGCTGAACCATATTTATTTATTTATTTATTTATTTATTATTTACGCCGTTTATATTGCCATGGATTTCTTTGGATGACTTCTTCAAAGGCTAAACTAAACCAGAAGTGGATTCACTACTTCAGAAATATGAAACTCGTCAGCTACCACTGGACATCTATTTTTCATGCGAAACTTTGGTCCCCAGCAGCAGAGGTAAATTTAGCATGGGCATTTCACGTTGAATGGCAGTTTCATCTTTGGATTCACTGGATGACTCCACATTGTATCAAGTTAAACTCTGGACAGATTTGCTCACAAAGAACAAAGACAGGTATGGGGAATCTTTAGCCCTTCGGATGATTTCAATTAACTCTAGCATGGCAAATGTTAAGGAATTTGTCAAAATATATTCTCAAATGTCTGAAAGGTGTAAGGTTTCTTATTCTTATATGGTTTTATCCTTGCATATTCTTCATGTGAAGGGGAACAATTGTATTTTAATGTTATATAGCAGTTTTTCCCCTAACTTCAGAAAATGGAGTAAGAGCCTGAATAATCTTGCTGACAGAACCATTGGTGGCATGATCCTCAAACTACATGTAATAAGTTGGCTAAACCACTAAAGGAAGTGCTTATCTTATCACTAAGAATATGGTTTGCAAATTGGAGTTGAAGTGAACCAAAGTCCAACCTGGCATCCTGCCATGCAAATGGTTCTGCCCCTATTTCAGGTTAGTGAAGTAATTTTGAACCCACACATGGGTAGGGAAGTGAGATATGAATAGGAGAAGTTGGTTGCAAATATGAATGCGGGGGTTTTCAGATAAGGCTTTTGCTGTGCAAGCCCTTTGCCTTTTGCATGTAATTTTACACAGCAATAAAACATTATTATCTTCCACTGGCAACCCTCTGGATTTGTACGCTTGTGTATAATCATGAAGAAGGCTAGGAATGTTAATCAAAAGTCAACCCAAAAAACCTGGGCTGACTTATCCATAGATCCATGCACCTTAACTCTTATGAAAAAAAGGAACAATTTCTGCATAGAGTGGCAAAAGGCAAAAACTGAATCCCTCCTGGGAGAGCCTAAAAGAAACACCAACAACCTCTACTTTCTCACTAATTCTCGCCTTTGAGAGTGCCTGGGTGGGGAAACAGCAGTGGTGGTGGCCAGGCGTGGCTGACTAAGGGCCTCATCAGAAAGGCCAGGCAAGGCATCCCGCTTCACCTGACTTCGCCGAGAAAAGAGAGAGGCAGCGGGGCAAATCCATCACTCTGCGCGCAGCTCCCTCTTGGCAATGCTTTCCCCATCACATGTACTACCTTTACAATTCCGCTCACTGGAGTGGCATACGGGAAGCACACAATCTCCCTGTTACGCCAGCTCCACTGACTGCCGGTCTGCTACCGAGCACAATTCAAAGTGATGGCTTTAGCCTATAAAGCCTTAAACGGTTCTGGTCCAGCTTACCTGTCCGAATGTATCTCCCTCTATGAACCACCTCGGAGGTTAAGATTGTTGGTGCGGCTGGTGGGGATGAGAGACAGGGCCTTCTCAGTGGTGGCCCCTCATCTATGGAACTCCCTCCCCAATAAAATCAGGTCAGCCCCCTCCCTCCTGTCCTTTAAGGGAAAGAAAACTCAAAACATGGTTGTGGGATCAAGCATTTGAGCAGCAGATGCAGCAATAATAATGAAAGTGATCTTATGTGACTGACAATAGATAGACCCTGGATTATGACTTTGAACTTGCACAATTTTAAATGGATGTCTTTAACTGATGGTTTAACTATCTGTTTTAACTGGATTTGTTTTTTTATAATTGTGTATGTTGGCATCTAATGGTTACCTGTTGTGAGGTTGCCCTGAGTCACCCTTCGGGGGTGAAAAGGATGGGGTATACGTGTATGAAATAAATAACAATAAATTCTATTTCTCATTCATATGTATTTCTTTTTTCTTTCCATCCTGACCAAATATTCACTTTATTGGAGTCTCTGAACAGATGCAGAACTGGTTGGGTTAGAATTGAACTCCTGCATCCCTAATGCTTCACCACTCCCAAACAGTCTGAAATAATAGGGATAGAAAACAGCACAATCTTCCTGAATATCAAATGCAGTGGCAAAGTTTGAAAAGATCATAATATAGAAAAGCCTGCTCTCAGGTCAGTCTCTTTTGCCCCTGTGAACCGAGACACAATAACAGCTGGCTCTCTGTTCAGGACAAGCTGGTCTTGTTTGCCTTGGCTAACCTCTGTTCACTTTCACAACAGGTATTTTGCATTTCAAAACTGAAGGAATCAAAATACAAGAGGCACAAACTTCAGGTCTGGGGGGGAGGAAACCTATCAGACATCTTCCAGGGTAAACATGGCCAGGAAATAGTCTAGTTTCCCATCCTCATTTGTAGATTTGTAACTTGAAGAAAGGGGCACCTTCCTACAAAATCTGGAAGGACAGAATAGAGGCAAATCTGTGTTCTTTGTGTAAGCCAATATTTTTTTTTTCAGCTTGCTGAGAAAAGACACTACTGCTACTACAACTAATATTACTACTAATAATAATTGCTCGCTTGTTAGAATAAATAGAGTTTCAGTGAAGCCACGGCACAACCCTGGTTGGTTCTTTTCACCCAAGAACCGAGGACCCTTCCACACAGCCATATAATCCAGAATATCAAGGCAGAAAATCCACAATATCTGCTTTGAACTGGATTATCTGAGTCCACATTGCCATATAATCCAGTTCAAAACAGATAATGTGGGATTTTATTCAGCTGTGTGGAAGGGGCCTCAATCTGTTAGTCTAAGATGCCCTTGTGGTGACAGTAAATTCATTAATCACAGTTACCTTCAACAAAATCCTGACAAATAACTCCACAGGCTTTGCAGGCTTTACTCAAAGGGAAAACTCAGAATCAATAAAGGAGATTTACTGTATAGCGTCATGTGACTAATTGCACTTTAGTCAGCCACATCGGTGTGTGAATTGCTTTCAAGATAAGAGAAGGCATATATTTCTGGACAAAGCTGTAGTATAACCCTGATTGTACAGAAAATAAAATCACGTCTGCTTGAATCTCCCCTATCACAGCTGGCAGTCATGGCATTTGATGGCACCTGGAAAGTGGAGAAGAGTGAAAACTATGAGAAGTTTATGGAAGTAATGGGTGAGATATGCATTCTTTTTGCTTCCTATCAGCAGCCATGTACTATATCATTGCGTTGGAAAGATCTGGAGGTTCTTTCACACTACACATATAGTGCTATGATTCCAGTTTAAATGCCACAGGCACATCCTATAAGAGGCTGGAGATTGTACTTTGGAGAGCTTTCTGATTGAGAATTCTGAATGGCCTGCCCTAAAATGCAAATTTCAGAAATCAATAGATGTTACCAAAGCAGTGAGAGACGCCTGGTAACACATCCAGGCGTCCCCTGGGCAACGTCTCTGCAGACAGTAAATTCTCTCACACCAGAAGCCACTTGCAGTTTCTTAAGTCGCTTCTGACACGATTAAAAAAAATGCAAAGCAGTTAAAAATGAAATGACGATTGTATAACTGTGTAGTGTGAAAGGGCTCGTGGTTACTTCATTTAATTCACAAGGTTAGTCCCTGACATTCTACTTTCTTGTCCTCATGGAAACTACTAACATTGCATTCTAAATCTTATTTCTTTGCTCTCCAAACTGGTTTTTCCTCAAAATATAATGGGATTTACATAAGAGTTGATTCAGCCCTTGATTAAACAATCTGCTTCAGTTGAGACCTGCAACTGAAAGAGACCAGCCCTTGTCACTTTAAGTGTTAAGGAAACAGAAACTTGGATCCAGCCTTCCTTCAAGAATAAACCCATAGGACAAGTTGGTTGCGAGTCGATTGATTTTGTAGGGTCTGGATCCTCTGTGTATATGTGTCTTCAAGTTGCTTGTCAACTTATGGTGATTTTATTCATTTCATAATATTTTCAAAGATGAAAAATTATCAGTTTTTATTGCTTGAAGATACTAGAACAGGCATGGGCCAACTTTGTCCCTCCAGGTGTTTTGGACTTCAACTCCCACAATTCCTAACAGCCTACCGCCAGTCCAAAACACCTGGATGGCCAAAGTTGGCCCATGCATGTTCTAGTACCTTCAAGCAATAAAAACTGTGATAATTTTTCAAGATTTTGCCAAGCTGTTTAGAATTATAGAGAGAACAATAAGAAAGCAAAATGCAAGACACTCCCCTAAAATCAACGGACTCACAACCAACTTGTCTTATTAGTTTCAATGAGTTTATCCTTGAATCATGGCTGGATCCAATTTTATGTTTATTATTCTCTTTCAATAACTATCTCAAAATAACATGTAAAATCTCCTCATAACAGACAGACATGATATTATATCCTCACGACAACCTCACAAAAGAAATTAGTCTGAATGATTGCAATAGTTCTAGAGTCGCGTGTGTGGTGAACTTCATCATATGGGTTTAAATCTGTGTCTCCCAGAAACTATTTCATTTTTTCCAGTCATTACAATTACAATCAGACCACCTAGTGGCGCAGCAGGCTAAACTGCTGAGCTGCTGAACTTGCTAGCTGAAATATTGGCAGTTTGAATCTGGGGAGCGGGGTGAGCTCCCGCTGTTAGGCCCAGCTTCTGTCAACCTAGCAGTTCGAAAACATGCAAATGTGAGTAGATCAATAGGTGCTGCTTCTGTGGGAAGGTAACAGCACTCCATGCAGTCATGCCGGCCACATAATCTTGGAGGTGTCTAGGGACAACGCCTGCTCTTTGGCTTAGAAATGCAGATGAGCACCAACCCCCAGAGTCTGAGATGACTAGACTTAATTTTAAGGGAAACCTTTACCTGTATTTACAATTATAATATCAGACACTTCTGTTATTTTGAAAATGCTTTTTTACAGAACAGAAAATCCTTTCGCTGTGTGCTTAACTTGCTTTTTCATGTACCTTCCTAGGTATTAATTTAGTGAAGAGAAAGCTAGGAGCTCATGACAATCTGAAGCTCACAATCCAACAAGAAGGAAACAAATTCATAATCAAGGAGTCCAGCAACTTCCGTACCATAGAAATAGTGTTCAATCTGGGAGAGACCTTTGACTATAGCTTGGCAGATGGAACTGAACTTCAGGTAAAAAAGCCTCGTCTATGATGGTCTGGTCTTGCTTGAAAAATCTGCTGTTAAGAGGATACAAATAAAAGTGATTCCTGTGTTTTGCTTACTGGCATATTAAGAATGCTTTTGTCTTTGTTCACGTTACAGGGCAACTGGGACGTGAAAGATGGGAAACTGGTTGGGACATTCAAACGCAAAGATAATGGGAAGGAACTTTTAGCACTGAGAGAAATTGTAGGAGATGAAATGATACAGGTAAGTTCATCAGAAACAATTGATAGATCTGTTCATTTTTTTAAAAATCACACTCGTTTCTTGACGAAGAATGGGTGTAATATTCTTAAACCCTTATTCCTTCATACTGCCTTATAAATACAGAGTGGAATGGGGTATATAAAAAGAAGGCAAGATTGGCTGGCATTTTCCTATCCAAGCCTATATTGTTTACTGATTTCAGGTTTCTCAACCTGGAGGTTGGGACCCCTGTGGGGAGGGTCGTGAGGGGGCATCAGAGGGGTTGCCAAAGGCCATCAGAAAACATAGTATTTCACAACCTCTGAGGATGCCTGCCATAGATGCAGGTGAAATGTCAGGAGATAATGCTTCTGGAACATGGCCATATAGCCCAAAAAATCTACAATAATCCATGGCATTTTCTGTTGGTTATTGGAGTTCTGTCTGGGAAGTATGGCCCAACTCTATCGTTAGTGGGGTTCAGAATGTTTTTTTATTGTAGGTGAACTACAAATCCTAGCAACTACAACTCCCAAATGTCCAAGTGTATTTTCCCCACACTCCACCTGTGTTCACATCTGGGCATATTGAGTCTTTGTGCCAAGTTTGGTCCAGATCCATCATTGTTTGAGTCCACAGTGCTCTCTTGATGTAGGTGAACTACAACTCCAAAACTCAAAGTCAATGTCCACCAAACCCTTCCAGTATTTTTGTTGGTCATGGGAGTCTTGTGTGCCAAGTTTGGTTCAATTCCATCACTGGTGGAGTTTGGAATGCTCTTGGGTTATAGGTTAACTATAAATTCCAACAACTACAACTCCAAAAGGCTATTTCAACCCCCCCCCCCCCCCCCCCCCCCCCCAACCCCACCAGTATTCAAATTTGGTTATATCAGGTATTTGTGCCAAATTCAATCCAGTGAATGGAAATACATCCTGCATAATGTTGGATTTTATGGCAGGCCTATTATGGTAAATAAACAAATCTTTCCAAGTGAAGACAAATAACACAGAAGTACTTGTTGCCAATCAAGTCTGTTGAAGTTTAAGCATCAACTCATCCTACTATTTAAATATAGTTTTTTATTTGACCATACTGTCCAGCTTCAGTTTTGATTAGTTTATACCTCCTTAAAAATGAGGTTGGAAAATTATGGGCTTCCAGATGCTTTTGGATTACATACCCCATCATTGATCACTACTCACTATACTGGCGAGGGCTGATAGAAATTATAATCTAGAGAACAGCAGTTTGTCCACCCAGCCTTAGGAAAACACCTCTTACTTTTACAAATTTGGTCCATGGGTCCTTTGGAAATACAACTTTGCAAAAAGGATCTTTGCAAACTCAGTCCCATTGACTTACGTAACTAGGTAGCATGTATAAACTTTTACATGGCATGAATTCTACTATGCTACAGCACTGTACTTGATTATCTCTCCCAGTTTTCTTTTAAGTATGTCACTACTGATTGCCAGTCTAGCTTAAACTTCTCTATTGCATTATTCTTAAATCTGAGTGCATTTACACTGTAGAATTAATGCAGTTTGATGCCACTGTAATTGCTATGACTCAATGCCATGGAATCCTGGGAGTTTTACAAAGTCTTTAACCTTCAATGTGTTGTCGAAGGCTTTCATGGCTGGAAACACTGGGTTGCTGTGAGTTTTCCAGGCTGTATGGCCATGTTCCAGAAGCATTCTCTCCTGGCATTTTGCCCACTTCTATGGCAGGCATCGTCAAAGGTGGAGGAGTCTGTTGGAAACTAGGCAAGTGAGGTTAATATATTTGTGGAATGTCCAGGGTGGGAGAAAGAACTCTTGTCTGCTTGAAGGAAGTGTGAATGTTGCAATTGGCCACCTTGATTAGCAATTAATGGCCTTGCAGCTTCAAAGCCTGGCTGATTGCTGCCTGGGGAGGATCCTTTGTTGGGAGGTGTTAGCTGGCCTTGACCTATTCTTGTCTGGAATTCTCCTACTTTTTGAGTGTGGCTCTTTATTTACTGCCTTTAACCTTCTCATCCAAAGAGTGTTAGTGCCTCACCAAACTACAGATCCCAGGATTCCATAGCACTGGACCATGGCAATTAAAGTGGTATCAAACTGCATTAATTATACAGTACAGATGTCCCATTTGTTGATCTTCAGCACACAATTTTCTAACTTGTTTTTTTTTAATTTCAGACATACACCTATGAAGGAGTTGCAGCTAAGAGATTCTTCAAGAAAGCATGAAAAACAGTCAGACGAATGGCTGTCCTTTGTTTATAGAAAGAGTAGTTTTCCCACCAAGTGCAGAGTAACTGAGTTCTACTTTTGTCCATGTGCCATAACAATTCAGATGTATTTATCTTTCACACCTCTATCTGCTTAAATAAATGGCGTTGCTAAGGCTACAAGTAATATTTACTGTTTTATAAATGGAGAGGAAAATAAACAAAGTTTCTACTTCATTTTTCAGGAGACATGTTTTTATTCCATCATTTTTGTATAAACTTTTTAAAAATACCACCCATTATATAATACACTAGTAAGAATCGGTGAGCTTGATCAATGGACCAAGGTATAATGATTAACATGGTTTCAAAATTAAGGGCACAACAAAGACAGAGATAAATACTTTTTAATATCGTTCAAGTCAGTGTGAAATTTTAACATATCCTTAATGTTCAAGTTGAAATCGTTAGGATCTCAAGGTGCATTTGATGGAATGTTGTCCTAAGCACAGCTTGGAAATGTTAATTTTAGACTTCAACTCCAAGAATTGCACAACCCTCACACCCAGTGTCCTAAGCAACTTTTCTTCTGAAAGCCTGCATTCACAGACAAAGCTCTGATTCACCATGAAAATGTCGTTTGATTGTAGTTAGTTACAGTTCCTCCCTGACTCTGAATGTCGCCTTTGTTGCGCCCACTTTGCATTCTGAAGTATGGAAAGTTTGCAGAGTAATTGTAATGGACTTGGTTTCCTTGGGTACAAAACTGATGAAAGATTACCTGTTTTGTAACAGGTGAATCTATGTACATATTGCTCTGATTGAATGCGTAAATACTTTCTAATTGTCTAAGGGTGCATTTACATCCTTAATGCCGTTTGCTAGCACTTTAACTGCCCTGATTCAACTGCTATGAAATCTTGAGAGCTGTGGTTTGGTGAGGAATCAGAACTCTGGCAAGAAGCCTAAAGATCCTATAAAACTACAACTCCCATCATTCCATAACAAGAGTCATGTAAGCTACAGTGATGTCGAACTGCATTCATTCTACAGTATAGATGTACCCTCAGTTTGGTAGCGACAGTCCTGCTTAATCCTCCACCATCCCACTTTTTAACTTGTTTTAAAAATGGCCCAGTTCTTTCTTCTCCTCTCCCCACTTCCCTCTTTCATCCTCATCTTACTCCAATTTCTGCAAAGTGAGTTCAAAGTACAGAAGTAGTTTTGCACTGAGTTAACTCCACATGGGCTGAAGATAAGGGCATTTTGTCCTTCCCAGTGGGTTTTGGCAAACTTAAAACTGCACCGGACTCACCTAGGTTGTGTGTTCTTCCTCTTTAATAATGTTTACTCTGTTGACCACACTCTGATGTTGCTTGACCTAGGACCTCTTCACATGGCTCGTGGTGCCCCACACGTCCTCCCATTTCTCCTCGTCACATGGTGGGGCACGCTTTGTGTTGGCACCCTTTCTCTCCCCCTATCAGATGGCAGAAAGGATGGCAATGCGCATTGCTCCACTGCCCTTTATGCCATCACACCAAAAAAAAAGGATAAGAAAGTGTGGGTACTAGCTTCATTTGAGTTACCCAAACAACACTTTCCTCCTCATAGTGGTGGAGGATTGTGGGATGGCACATGGCAGGCCCCATCCAAGCTGTGCATAAAAGCGGCAAAACGGGGCAAAAATGCCCTGTGTGAAGAGGTCCATTGTGTGTCCTGGTTTATATCCATGAAGTGTTGGAGTGTATGCCATAGGGCAGGCATGGGTAAACTTTTTGGCCTTGAGGCCACATTATTGGCCCGACCAAAAGGGCTGGGCCAGAAGGGAGAGGGCCTGTGGGATGGTGAGGCTGGGAGGGGGCGGGGCAGGTCTCAAATCCTCAGGTTGCCCTTCTGGCATAACAACAACAACAACAACAACAACAACAACTTTATTTATAACCCACCTTATCTCTCCAAGAGGACTCAGGGCTGCTCGCCCCATCATTATGCTGGGAGGAAAAAGAGACATGCAGTGGCTGAGAGCACTCCAGAGGGCTCCCAGCTATTGTGTGGCTTCTTCCCCCATCCTTTCTGCATAAGGATGTGGCAGACCACCATGTCCTTATGCTGAGAGGACAGGGAAAATTAGAAGGGCCTGAGGTAAGCGCCCAGGAGGCCACATCTGGCCCCCGGGCCTTAATTTGCCCATGTCTGCTATAAGGTCTAATGCAGAGATAGTAATTACACAGGACCTTATCACATTAAGAAATACTCAGTGTCAATCGGTATACATCTTGGGGTTTTTTTAAGGACTGGAGGTATACTGTATCCAGACAGGATGCATAGTCTCCCCATCACACCCAGTTATTATGATTTATGCATTTGCTGTTACTCATCACACCACCGAAGGCTGGGTCTTCCCAATCCATTCAAAAGACTCCCTACATCACCCCGTGACCTTCAAACAAATTCTAATATTGCACATTGAAGAAGCCTCAAAGTCTCAAACTACTGCTCTTGTGAAATCTGAAAAAGATCTTTTGTCTATGCAGTAACAGGTTTCTCTGATCGCTATCTTTTGGCATAAAAAAATCCTGTGGTTTCTTGTTTTTGTTAACATGCAAATTAACGTTTAGAAGCTAGTTATTACAGTAGATATGGCGGCAATTATTGCTGATGTTGCTTCACTTAGTAATTCAGTTCTATGAAGCCAAACTTAAGGCAGTGCAGAAGCAAAAAAGCCTTGTGTTGGCACTGCTTCTCCTTTTGAGAAGGCATGACAGATATACTTTGAAATCTTCGCTGATTGTGTTGCTGGACGGACGGTGTCCATACATGGGAAGGGGCCACCCCAGAGCCAAGGTGATGCTAGTGAGAAATGATTTTGGGAGGTATATGTATAGTATAGAATCATAGAGTTGGAAGAGACCTGATGGGCCATCCAGGCCAACCCCCTGCCAAGAAGCTGGAAACTTGCATTCAAAGCTTCCCTGACAGATGGCCATCTGTCTCCTCTCAGCCATCTCTTCTGCAGGCTAAACATGTCCAACTCTTTTATCCTTTGTTATTATATTGCCAAGTTTTTTATGTGATATAAAAAGACAATTCAAATACAACAGAGGGAAGGAACTGCACAGATTTTGGTTAAAAAATGATGATAATAATAAGGTAAAGCATTAATTTCCGGTTTCAGTAATCTCAGAGATTTTTCCCAAAACAAAAATGGTGGGTGCTTCTGTCACAAACATTCTGGAGTCAGGAGACACCAAACCCTAGAGACGCCCCTGACTGCCAAGTCATATTATTACTTGTTGCCAGGATTTTGATTGGGGGGGGGGGGGGCGAGTCTGAGTGAAAGAGGGTCTACCCTAGCAAACCTTTTGTATTGTTACCCCAATACCCCCATGCATATGGGATATATTGAGTATGGTGATCAGATCATGATATGAATAAACATAACAGTTTAAATAATGCATCAGTAAGGCCTTCTCGCAGACCACCATGAGAATTTGGGGGGGGGGGGGCTAAGCCCCTCCAGCCCCCCCCCCCCCCCGGCTACATGCCTGGACGGGATGCATACTGGTTTTCAGATCACATGAAGAAAGCACACTTCATAAAGGAAGAAGCCATAGTATTTCAAAAAACATTAGAATCCTGAATGCAAATATTCAATTTCTGCAATATTTGCAGACAAAGTCTAATGCAGTAGTTCCCAACCTTTTTTTTCTCTTTTTTTGACCAGGGACCACTTTGACTAGTGACCACTCCCCAACATTACTACCAAAAGGGTTACGGATCCATTTTTGGTCAACTTTAGATTCAGTTTGGTTATTTGGGGTCTCAGAAACATATTTTCTAGTGTGATAAAGTCTTAAATTCTCAATGATCTTGGATCTGAAACTTTTGCAATGCCTTTCCTCCTAAGAAATGTTAACTTGACCCCAGTTTTATAGATATAGATATAAAATACAGGCATAAAATCAAATATTTACTTATGATAAATCAGCATTTGCAAGGCTTGCTAAATGGGCCGATTTTCCTTTTTGTGGAGTACGTCTTCTGCAAAGTCCACTGTAAACACAGCACAACAGATCTGTGTAAATGTCTAAATAGTCACTAAGTGGCATTTAGAAACCTTTTATTATTGCCTTTTTTCTGAACCCCAACATTAAGCTAAGGGGACTCCATCTAGGGTCTAGATCACAGCTTCTTAAACTATGGGTCAGGACTCCAAAATGGGGTTGCCATAACTGTATGTTGGGGTCACCTTTTCTCCCATGCAAGCTCCTCTCTGTGCTTTTCTCTCTCTCTCTCTCTCTCTCTCTCTCTTGTGTCTCTCTCTGTTTTCCTTTTGTCCCCGAGTATCTTTTTTATATTTGAGGTCATGTAAACATTTTTTCTTCTGCCAACCTAGCAGTTCGAAAACATGCAAATGTGAGTAGATCAATAGGTACCACTCCGGCGGGAAGGTAACGGCGCTCCATGCAGTCATGCCGGCCACATGACCTTGGAGGTGTCTACGGACAACGCTGGCTCTTCGGCTTAGAAATGGAGATGACCACCACACCCCAGAGTCAGACATGACTGGACTTAATGTCAGGGGACTACCTTTACCTTACCTTTACCTAAACATTTTTTGGTAAAAAAAGGGTCACAATTTGAAAAGACTTAAGAAGCTCTGCTCTTGTGCAGTTGGAGATTTGCAGGATTTGCATCCATGCAGACAGTTGAAATTCACTCCTTGCGTCATTGAACACATCCAATTTGGCTTAACTTAGGTCATTTTGTGCATGCATTTTTCCAGCACAATGCTCTATGCAAATACCTCTGTACTTAGATGGGGAAGTGGTAGTTTATGACCCAAGACTGTAAAGATGTACAATTTCAAAAGGAACCAAATAAGGAACAATGAAGTTACTTTACAAGTGCAATAAGTCATGGTTTTAATTGACTTTTACAGGCCACCACCATGTCTAAGTTGACCTCAAGTATAAGTTGAAGGCAGATTTTGGGGCCAACATTATCGATTTTGATATAAGTCGAGGATAAGTTGAGGGTCGTTCTGCGGAGAGAGGGAAGCATTGCCGAGGACCATCTGACCTGGCCACAACCACCATTTTACCACCAAAAGCATTCAAAAAGGCAAGTAACAGTGCCATTGCAGAGAGTCAGGGCTTCCTGTAGGTTTCTCTGGGATGAACTTTGCTTTCATCTTTTACCACTCTACTCAAAAAAGGGGATGGTTCCATTTTTGGGTTCTTCCAGGATGACCTAAACCAGCATATACAGTATTTTCTGTTGGTCATGGGGGTTCTGTGTGGGAAATTTGGCCCAATTCTATCGTTGGAGGGGCTCAGAATGCTCTTTGATTGAAAGTGAACTATAAATCCGAGCAACTACAACTCCCAAATGTCAAGGCCCATTTCCCCCAAACTCCACCAGTGTTCACGTTTGGGCATATTGAGTATCCATGCCAAGTTTGGTCCAGATCCATCATTGTTTGAGCCCACAGTGCTCTCTGGATGGATGTGAACTACAACTCCCAAACTCAAGGTCAATGCCCACCAAGCCCTTCTAGTGTTTTCTATTGGTCATGGGAGTCCTGTGTGCCAAGTTTGGTTCAATTCCATCATTGGTGGGGTTCAGAATGCCTTTCGATTGTAGGTGAACTATAAATCCCAGCAACTACACACTCCCAAATGTCAAGGTCCATTTTCCCCAAACTCCACCAGTGTTCACGTTTAGGCATATTGAGCATCCATGCCAAGTTTGGTCCAGATCCATCATTGTTTGAGCCCACAGTGCACTCTGGATGGATGTGAACTACAACTCCCAAACTCAAGGTCAATGCCCACCAAACCCTTCTAGTGTTTTCTATTGGTCATGGGAGTCCTGTGTGCCAAGTTTGGTTCAATTCCATCGTTGGTGGGGTTCAGAATGCCTTTTGATTGTAGGTGAACTATAAATCCCAGAAACTACAACTCCCAAATGACAAAACCCATTTTTTGAGTGATGGTTCCTCCTTGGGGTAGTTAGGTGAATTGTGTCCAAATTTGGTGTCAATTCGTCCAATGGTTTTTGAGTTATGTTAATCCCACAAACGAACATTACTTTTTTATTTATATAGATACAAGATAGATAGAAAAGCACATCTGTTCCTTTTTGACTAAATGGGAACTAAAGGTAATAGCGCCACCTGCCGGCAGTTAGGAAGACTCGCAGCCTAGTGGGACCCAATTCACGTTTCCCCCGGAGTCCTGCATTGCTGCGTGTTGCTTTGCTGACGTCCGCTGGGCGTCGCCTCGCCTGACTCTCTCTGCGCAGGCGCAAGGAGGGGAGTGCCTTCTTTCCTTCCTTCCTTGCTTCCTTCCTCCTTCCTCGGACGGGGAATGGAGCTGGAGCGGGAGGACGCGGCGAGAGAAGGGCCGAGGGGCCGCAGGGTTCCGGGCCCTGCTCCCCCGGCGGCGGCAGCAGCAAGCAATGGCTCGGCCGGAGGGGCTGTCGAGGTGCCGCGGGGCCCACCACTCTCTGGGACGTCCTACTGGCTGGACTTCTGGCTCATGATCCTCTTCGACTTGGCGCTCTTCGTCTTCGTCTACCTCCTGCCCTGAAGGAGGGGGAGAGAGAGACCACAAGGTGAGCCAATGGGAAGGGAGGGGAAAAGAGGGGAAGGGAGGAAATGAAGGAAGGCAGGAAGAAGGAGGGAAGGGATGATGGAAAAAAGGAAGGAAAGGGAAAGAGACGATGAAAGGGAAAGGGAAGATATGGTGGTAAAAAGGGGAGAATGGAAAGGAAAAGAGACGATGGAAGGGAAGGAAGACAAGGAAAAATGGAAGGGAAGGAAGGAACAAAGCAAGGAAGGAAAAAGGGGGAGAAAGGGATGGTGGAAAAAGGGGAAGGAAAGGAAAAGAGACGAGGGAAGGGGAAAGGGAAGGAAAGGGAAAGGAAGAAAGGGAAGTAGGACAAGGAAAAAAGGGGGTAGGATGGTGGAAAAAGTGGAGGAAGGAAAGGAAAACGATGGAAGGGGGAAGGGGAAAGGGGAAGAAGACAGGGAAGGGATGGTGGAAAAGGGAGAAAGAAAAGGAAAAGACGATGGAAGGGGAAAGGGAAGGAAGACAAGGAATGAAGGAAAAAGCAGGGAAGGAAAGGAAAAGACGATGACAGGGGAAAGGGAAGTAAGACAAGGAAGGAAAAAGGAGGGAAGGGATGGTGGAAAAGAGGAGGAAGGAAAGGAAAAGTAACAATGGAAGGGAAGGAAGGAAAGAGAAATAAAGGAAGAGAAGGTGGGAGGAAGCGAAGAGGGAAAGGGAAAAGGGAGGGAGAGAAGGAAGACAAGGAAAGAAGAGAAGGGATGGTGAAAAAAGAGGGAGGGAGGGAGGAAAGAAAAAGAGACTGAAGGGAAGGGGGGAAGAGGAAAGAAGGGGAAAAGGAAGTGAAGGGATGGTGAAAAGGGGGATGGGAGGGAGGGAGAAAAGGGAAGGCAAAGGGGGCAAAGGGCGGGAGAAAGAAAAAAGAAGGGAAGAAAAGAAAGCACACATCATTCATGAGCATGAAGCCTGAAAATGAGGCTCACATACATACACACACACACATATATATACACACACATGAGGTGTGTTGCATATACACACATACACATTGTGCATATATGTGCATGTGTTTGCTTGCATGTGTGTTAATGTATGTATCATATATGTGTATATGTATATATAAACCAGGGGTCCTCAAACTTTTTCAACAGAGGGCCAGGTCACAGTCCTTCAAACTGTTGGAGGGCCAGACTATATTTTGAAAAAACATGAATGGATTCCTGTGCACACTGCACATATCTTATTTGTAGGGCAAAAAACTTTAAAAACAATACATTAATTAAAATGAAGAACAATTTTAACAAATATAAACTTATTAGTATTTCAATGGGAAGTGTGGGCCTGCTTTTGGCTGATGAGATAGGATTGTTGTTGTTGTGTGCTTTCAACAACAACAGCCGGGTAAACGACTTTGGAGGGCCGTTTCTGGCCCCCGGGCCTTAGTTTGAGGACCGCTGATATAAACCTATAAAACCAGCATCTGTGTGTATCATCTGTGTATGTATTGTGTGTGTGTGTGTGTGTGTATTATCTCTATATAAACTAGCATGTATGAGTGTATGTATGTATGTGCATGCCCCATATTAATATATAAAATGGTGTATGTGTGTACGCATCTGTCTATAAGCAGTCAAAGTATGTCTTGTCTGTACCACAAAGGGAGTTGCTAGGTGACAACCTGGGGGGGCCTTTGTGATGTAACTAGATTGGCCATTGCTAGGTCAAGGAATGGCTGTGGCTAAGCAAAGTGGCTTTTTGTGATGTTACTGGGGAAAAGGTGACATGTGTATGAGGGGAGGAGAGGAAGGAAAGCCATTTTGCCATGGAAACATTGTGAGTTAGAGCTGGAGAAGGGGGAAAAACAAAGAAGGAAAAATGAAAGGGAGAGAGAAAGAAAAAGGAAGGAAGAGAGATGAAAGGGAGGGGATAGTATGAGGGAGAAAAATAGAAAGAAGGAATGAAAACCTCAGATTTGTCACATATTTTTTTTCAAAATTTTCTTTGATGATTTTATTTTGTAGTATGTGACTAACTAGGATTTCTTTAAGAACAGTAAGAAAGGGGCCTGGATCTTCTAACAGCCTTCTGAAATACTAAACAGTGATTCCCAAACTGTGGTCCTCTAGGTGTTTGGACTTCAACTCCCAGAAGCCAACAGTCAGATATTTCCGTAGCTGAGGTCATAAACATGTGGAAAATTAAAGTTTGAGAATCACTTTGCTAAAAGTTTTAGTTAGTTTTAAGCATAGGAGCATCTGTATTTGAGCTTCAAAATAACTTGAACTGAGCCTCCATGTTGCCAAGTTACATCTGTTAGAGTGACATAAATAATATTACTGATTTAATGTTTTGATGTTTATTGTATGTTGCTTTTGTTGCATTGTCTTGTAGGCCACCCCGAGTCCCTCCGGGGAGATGGGGCAGGATACAAATAAAGTTGGGTTGTTGTAGGTTTTTCGGGTTATATGGCCATGTTCTAGAAGCATTCTTTCCTGACATTTCACCTGCATTCTCTGAGGATGCCTGCCATAGATGCAGGTGAAATGTCAGAGAGAATGCTTCTAGAACATGGCCATAGAGCCTGAAAAACCTACAACAAGCCAGTGATTCCCGCCACGGAAGCCTTCGACAATACATTTGGCTGAGAGGGGTGGTATATTAATGTAGTAAATAAATAAACGAAGTTGTTATTATTGGATATCAAATGGAAGCTATTACTGCTCTTCATGTAAGGAACACCATTTTACTATACTATTACATATAATGGGACATCCACACATTTTGTTATCCACAAGAGTCCTGGAACCAAACCTCGTGGGATGCCAAGGGCCCATTTCATTCACAACAGTGCACGCCTTGGAAACTACCTTCCAGAGGTGGGAAGGCTGTTGCACAAGTAGTTATTACATACTTCCTCTTGCAACACTGCCATATGTGGGTGCATGTAATCAGCAAGTTTCTGGTTGATATATGTGAAGTCCTACAAGAAGTCCTACCAAAATCCTGTAGCAAAATAATTGTTCGAGGCCAAGAAGGGATGATGGTTCTGAAATCTGGCTGCATGCCTTTAAGGATATGTTTGTACACTGGAAGCATTGTTAAGCAAACACAGTCAAGACTCTTATGATTGCAAAATGTTTCCCTTGAGGCATTTGTTATGGTGTTTATGTGGTAATGGAAAATAATTCATATCTTGATTATGAGGCAGATTAATTAAGTTAAGCAGAGAATCATATTTGAAATAGATGAAAGAAAACAATCACTACGTTTCAATGGACATGCAGCATTTCCTGGCAACAGTTTTTATTTCTGAGATTGGTTATGACAGAAGCTGAATGTCTTCTATTGCATGGCATATACTGTATTTCTAAGAGCTCCTGGTGGCACAGTGAGTTAAACCCTTGTTCTGACAGGACTGAAGACCGATAGGTTGGAGGTTTGAATCTGGGGAGAGCGTGAATGAGCTCCCTCTGTCAGCTCCAGCTCCCCATGCGGGGACATGAGAGAAGCCTGCCACAAGGATGATAAAACATCAAACATCTAAGTGTCTCCTGGGCAACGTCCTTGCAGATGGCCAATTCTCTCACACCAGAAGCGACTTGCAGTTTCTCAAGTTGTTCCTGACATGAAAAAAAATGCATGTGTATGCAAATTACTATTTTGGTTTTTTTTTTAAAAAATTACAAACATAAAACAACCAAGGACATAAGTAAAGGTAAAGTTTTCCCTTTGACATTAATCTAGTCATGTCTGACTCTGGGGGTTGGTGCTCATCTCCATTTCTAAGCCGAAGAGCTGATGTCCACATACACCTCCAAGGTCATGTGGCCAGCATGACTGCATGGAGCGCCGTTATCTTCCCGCCGGAGTGGTGCCTATTGATCTACTTGCATTTGCATGGTTTTGAACTGCTAGGTTGGCAGAAGCTGGGGCTGACAGCAGGAGTTCATGCCACTCCCCGGATTTGAACCTGTGACCTTTCGGTCAAGAACATACACCTACACAATAAGAATAAAACTAACTAGTAAATTAGTAAGTCCCAGTCTTTCTTGTTTGTTGTTTATTCATTCAGTTGCTTCTGACTCTTCATGACCTCATGGACCAGCTCACACTAGAGCTCCCTTTGGGCATTCCCTGTCCTTCTAGGTCAAGCCAGTCACCTCAAGGATAACATCTATCCATCTTGGCATTGGTCAGACCCTCTTCCTTTTTCCTTCCATTTTCCCCAGCATCATTATCTTCTCCACGTTTTCCTGTCCTTTCATTATGTGGCCTGGAGCCTCTGGTGGTGCAGTGGGTTAAACCCTTTTGCCGGTAGGACTGCTGACCGACAGGTCAGTGGTTTGAATCTGGAGAAAGCGGCTTGAGCTCTCTGTCAGCTCCAGCTCCCCATGCAGGGACATGAGCGAAGCCTTCCACAAGGATGGTAAAAAACATCTGGGCCTCCCCTGGGCAACATCCTTGCTGACGGCCAATTCTCTCACACCAGAAGCGACACACACAAATATTATGTGGCCAAAGTACTTCATCTTTTCCCATAATATCCTTCCATCCAGTGAGCTGTTGGGCTTTATTTCCTGGAGTATGGACTGGTTTGATCTTCTCATCTTGCTTGTCGTTGGACAAATATTTCCTTTCATTGACCTGTTTAATTTGTCCATCTCAACAGATTCATGAATCTTCACCAGCTGTTGTCATCATTCTTTGTCTGGAGGGGGGTGTACTGTCTTGACACAAGGTTCTTGATACCTGATTTGTGGTTCATAGAAATGTTAAATTTCACTGGAACTCAGAAGAAATTCCAAGTGGAAAAGAAAATAGCTTACCTGTCCGAACGTATCTTCCTCTACGAACCATCTCGGAGACTAAGATTGTCTGGGGCGGCCCTGCTCTCGGTCTCACCTTCCTCGCAAGCGTGACTCGAGGGGACAAGAGACAGGGCCTTCTCAGTGTGGAACTCCCTCCCTAACAACATTAGATCAGTCCCCTCCCTCCTACCCTTCAGAAGAGAAGTAAAAACTTGGCTTTGGGGTCTGACTTTTGGAGAATAGTGCAATGCAGTAACAGATTTGGAATGTGTGCAGTGACCATGGAATGGCTTTGGACTTCGATTTCGGAATGGTGTGATTTTAATATTGAGTGTAATGTTTTTAAATGCTTAATATGTATTAATTTTAATTTATTTTAAGCTTAATGTTTTGTATGTGTGTTAAGGCATTGAATAATTGCCTATATGTAAGCCGCCTTGAGTCCCCTTCGGGGTAGGGAAAAGTGGGGTATAAATAGGGTAAATAAATAAAATGCCTTACATAGGACATAATTAACTTCATGGTTTCTTTTGCATGTGCTGGTGAGCTACAATCGATACATTGGTCCCACTGAAAATGTGTTTTAACTCCCATATTCTTTTTCCCCCAGGGCAACCAGATTTTTCTCCAGGAAAACCATCAGTGTTACTCTTTGAGTAGCGCTTCTATCCCAAACAGGAAAAAGAAAAACACAGAGAAGTTGTTATACTTCAGGAAGTGGAAGTCTGATTACCTGTTTTGGAACTGATGGCACATTTGAGACTGATAGACATGGAGTTTCATTAATGAACTTGGAGCAGATGCCATTCGACATCTATTCTTCGCCTGCGAGTGCAAGTTATGCCTTATGTTAAATGTTACTGAACGGGTTAAAGGTTTTCAACTATGTTGAAGTGCTTCATTTCAGTAATTGACTACAAAGCTCACTCTTTAATAAAGAGTAATATAAAATAATTCAGGTTTTTTTGTGATGTTTCTCAGAACAGATGAAGAATCTCTTTTGTGGGTTGAACTCTTGAGGGGAAGAGAATTTTGGGATGCATATACTGCTCCGTTATAGGAATCAAAGTAGAAATATAGCAGCTTTATCCTTGTCCTGCTTCTGAAACTTGTACTTTTTTACAATAATGTGCAAGATCAATCCAGCCTTTCTGAATAGTGCTGTGTTTCATCAGAGCCCTTTGTTCTTTAGCATCAGGAAAATAGCTGGAGAAATAATACTTGAAAAACTGGAAGATACACAAACAAACATTGGACTAAGAAAGATGCCGACACTGTATTCAGTTTGGCCTCCAAAACCTATTTTGCACGTGTATTGAAAACATCTGCTGCTAGGCCTTAGAGGAAAATGGCTATTTGAAAGCATAAGAATTGAGATGGCAGCAATGGACTTAAAGCATGAGATTATATATAGCTCCTGTAAGACTTTTGCTGTAAATACTTCTTTGCCATGCCTTAATTCTCTGCTTGCTCACTTTTACATTGGAAGTGATCTGTATAATTGCTTTGATTCTATGTTCCCATGTAACCAAGACTCTCCACCTTATCTTTACAACCTTCTGAAAACAACTAGGTCAGGGGTATCTATTAGCTACATGAATCAAATCTCTCCCAATCCCAGTCTGGTATAATCACAGTACCATGGCACTCACTAAACCAGTGGCTCCCAACCTTTTTTTGACCAGGGACCACTCTCCAACATTAGTACCAAAAGGGTTACGAATCAGTTTTTTGGTCAACTTTAGATTTGGTTTGGTTATTTGGGGTGCCAATTCAGGAAATTGCATTGGATAAGCCACATCAGCTCTAGTTTACGATACAGAACATATGCTATCCAGTAGTCGCCATCTGCTCGCCCACAGAAAACTCTATTTAATAAGCCTTGGCACTATAAGAAGGTTTTGTAAGGCCAACTGCTCTCTTTGCAATGGTGGGTGTAATGGTGAGGCCATGGACCATATTTTAGTTCTTGTGGACCACAGGTTGGAAACAACTGCACTAAGATGATGAATGGATCCAACCCGTCCAGATGAGGTATTTCATCTTAGATAATGTGGGATTCTTTGATATGAAGTTTGTTTTACAAGGCACAGTACTGAAGAATCGGAACTGTATAGCTGTTTATGTGAGATGACCCTTTACATTCTTGTCCCATAAGCATTACAATAAACAGACATACTGAATTAACAGACATCTGCCCAGTAAGAAAATCCTGCATTCAAATACAGGGAATGACATTTCTACTGTGAAAAGTTGCCTTATGTTTACATATTATATAGTTGTATGCACAGTATGGGGCAGTATTTAGTACTGCTACCAATTTAATGAACTGAAATTCAGTACTGAAAATTTGTCAGTATGCTCAAATAGTAAACATCTTCAACTACCACTACTCTTTAGGGATCAAGAGAGCCATAGTCTTAACAGCAAAGAAAGCCATGGGCTTCCCAGTCTATTCTGAGCTACAAAATCACACATTTTAATGTGGGTTAATGTGAAACAGTAGTATTGATTCCTGTAGTGATATGATTAATTGAACTGTATCTGGAGAATTTTATCTAAAAGACTAGATGCTGTATGTGAATTCGTTCTCATTTAATTGGAGTTTAATTTGTCTTCTAAGTGTTCAAAACTATTATTGTATATAAACCAGAATATCTGATTTTTGACTGCAAAACCCAGCATCATTCCCCATGTCACTTGTAAGCCAAAGTATCCGAAGAGACCAGGAAAAATAAGATTACTGTACAGATGTAACTAGGAGCAAGTTCTGTTGAACAAACTAGTATTTAATTTTGAATTGAACATGTCTACACAAAAGGTTCCATAGGAAAGAATGTACAATTCATTTAATAAGCTCTTTAGACGAACATAAATAAATTCCATTAGATAATGACCACCTGCGTAATTTATAGATGCAATAGAAAACGACACAGGGCCAAACATGTCAGTAAGGAATCTTGTTTCATACTACATAGTTTGGTCACCATGTTATTCGATGGCAAAGACTCATGCTCCTAAACTAAGGAGTAGCTTTACTGTTGGATATAAAATTAACATACACCAATTACGCTGCTCATGCTTGCTTGAAAAAACCAAACCTAGCAGCAGTGAAACAGACCTTATTTGGAAATATGCACATGTAAGCTAAGCACTGTATAGGTTAACTTAGTTGTATCCGACAAGTTGGAACAAGCAGAAAATGCACCTTTGGGTCAAAATTTTCTAAAGACAATGAAAATATTGTTTACAAGACATGTTAAATGCATTTAGCATTACAAAATTCATACAAATCTATAATCTGAAGGGAACAATTATAAAAATAGGCACCCTGGAAAAATAAAAAAAATCAACTTTTGCTAGCAAATATCTAGAGTGCACGGCCTGTTATAAAAACTGACCATAAGTTATAATGAAATAAGCATTATCTGATAGCCACAAGTCTGTACAAAAGGTTGTCAAAAGACAAAAACAAAGGTATCGATTTACAAGAAGAATATATACTATTCAACATCTTTCTAATAAGCATAATCAGTTTACTAATTGTGCTTATTAGCACTTTTAAAAATAAATGTACAGTTAGGTCTTTCTCATTTATACAGACATTTAACATTTGCTATGCACATTTTTAAAATGTAGTAATGCTCTTACACCAGATCATTCACATTTGTTAGTGTTTATGTCAATACTGCAGATTCAAAAACACAATTTCTAGTAAGAGCTTTTCAATAGTATATTTACAGATTCCAGTATGTTACAATTCCATTTCTACACATGAAGGCTTTAAACTAGTAACACATTTCGTGTGTAAAAAGAATGAAATGAGATTTTTAAAATTCCATTTCAAAAATGAGTAGAACCAATAACTTCACGCAGCTGCTTTTAGATGAACATTCTGGCCTATATTCAAGGCAAAAGTTTGGTTTCGCTTGTAGTCATGTTTTAGAGAAAATACCTTCTGCAGAAGTCTTACTTTTTAGGAAAAGCAAAAAGGAAACAAGATCTAAAGCAACTGATGCAAGTCATTTGGTGTGATGGAAAATGCTAAGTAACACGTTTTAGATTACATTTATAGTTAACACATTGTCACAATACAATTTTGGTGGGCAGCTGTTGACCTGTGCTCTCTTATACAGGATAACAGAAAGCCAAACCCTCTCTCTCTTTTTTTTTTTGGGGGGGGGGGGTGTAATCCTTGAACTCTGATGGAAGGCAATTTTAGGTGCATAGAGACCAATTTACTACCCTAGTAGCTAGGTTCCTAAAGATACAATCATTGTTTAGAAAAAAAGGGGGGAGGGTCTGAAAAACAAACTTAGGTATGCTTACCCCCCCCCCCCAATGCTTGGTTTGTATGAGTATGTATAAAAACTTCAGATGTCACAAGATTCCAACAATGATATAATTTGATCAGAAAACTCTTACACTCAATTGAATGGCATTTCACAATGCATTCAAGGGAGCAAACCAATTTAAGGTACTCCTTCTGTAACACAGAGACATACAGCATACTAGAGAGCATCCTGGAGCAACACATGTAACAACCTCAACTGGCCAAAAAGCAGAGCTTAATACAACTCCAATACAAGCATTGAAGGAGAGTCTTAATTAATTACATGACTTTAAACAAAAAATCATTTCTCCCTTTTCTCAGGACTATGATTTGGGTTGGTTTTTTTGGGGGGGTTTTTTGTGGTAATTTGTCAATTTGTGACAATTCTATACATTTCATGGGGTTTTCTTAATCAGGGAATACCCAAGAGCTCCTTTTGCCAATGACTTTCACTGAAATATAGCCCACAGCACTTGGTACTGGTTGGTGGCCTCTCATCTAAGTACGTACTAGCCAGAGCTGACCCTGCATAGCTTCCAAGCTCAGATGACATCTGGTGCTTTTAAGGTATTTAAATATTTCCTAAATTTTGAGAAAGTATTGTACCATACAGTTTATTTTCATCCTACAGTAACTAAATGAGAATTTCATGTAAACCTAAAACTCATTATTTTAGGCCTGCCACCTGCTCCCATAACAGGAACGTCCAAGGAGTATTTTCTGTGTATCCCTGCTCACAAATTGAATTAAGACATTAAGAACACCAATGGCATTTTCCATTCACACAGATAATCATATATTGTTTCTTTTGGCCATTCTCATAAAAATATATACAATTCATGATATGAAATTCTTCCTTGCAGCATAAGGATAGCCCCAAACAACCCTACTACATACAACTGCTACACACAATTTGAAGTATTTAAGGTATGCTGTATGGAACATCTCTTATTGCTATTTAAACCACCAGTTGCCACTTTATATATTAAAATACGATCTAAGTCACTCATTAAGGCATCATTTTGAATAACCAAAAACTACTATAGAGTCCTGATTTAAAGATATCTAGGACAATAGAAATATTGACTCAAGAATTTCAGATACATTACGGGTTTTAACCAATACAAAATTTTTCCACAATATTTTTCTGATTATATCTATCATTCTGTGCATAGGTCTTGACCTTTCAATATATCACACCAATATTTAAAAGACTTCTGGTTAGACTAAAGTAAAACTTCTAAATTTGAGTTTACAAGAGCAAGAAAAACTTCCATCTTACAACTTTAACAAGGCAAACCAGTAGCATTGCTACTACTGTAACTTTTAATTAAAGGGTACCTGAATGAAAGGGAAAGTCAATTCAACACTCCCATTAAATGCACTTCTCATGTTCTTGCAAGGGATTCTTAGGCAGGACTGGTGCTTTAAGTTATCTTAAGGAATTTTTTTTTTTTACTCTCACAACACATTAGCAAGAACTAGCCTTTCTCTGGTGAAGACTAACTCTTAAAACTAAGGTGCAAACTAGGGTACTTAATTCTGATGTCCTTGACCAGACCCACTATGGGTCACATTAGCATCTTCTGGCAAAATTAGAAGTGATCAGATACTCATTTCAGATTTTTTAAAATGGATTTGAATTGGGGAAGATGTTGTCTTTCAGAGGACACTTGTGCCATTTGAAAACCCCCAGACATACAATTCTTCCACCACCACCCACACTTGGGGGGGGGGGGCATGATTCTCGCTGCTGGCAAAATTAGAAGTGATCAGATATCTTTCAGATTTTTAAAAAATGGATTTATATGATAAAGAATTGGGGAAGATGTTGTGTTTCAGAGGACACTTGTACCATTTGTAAACCCTCAGACATATAATTCTTCCACCATCACCCACACATTTGGTGGGGGGGCACATGATTCTCACTGCTGGTGTAGATAATGTGTGACACAATGGGAGTAGTTTTATTTTTTAAAATTTGGTACCCTGGAAATGACCAGCTAGCTACACAGTGATATCACATAGCTACAAAAGCCTTGAAAAGACTTGGATGGAGAAATGCAGCATGCAACCCATACATCTCCACCTTTCCCTGATTTAGTATATTTTTTCATATATACAAATGGTAGAATGATACATTACATGGTGAGGTAGTACAGTTCGCATGGGAGTATAACTGTTCCGTTTTTAAGGTGAGTGTTTGAAAATGCCTCCATAGAAAAACCACACTTCATGTAAAAACTTTCAACATTGAGCAGGAATACACCATGTAAGAGCTTTACACAAGGAACCATTTTCATGTGAGGGCTAAAGCTCCCAAGTGAAATCTGAGGTAGTGTAAGCCCCTATGAGAACTATACTATTTTGTTTATACATGTATCCTTTGGCCAAACGTTTGCTCATTTAAAAATCTAGTAATTCACCATTACATTCCAACTAGGATTCATTTAGCCAAACCAACAGAATTAACATGATGGATTTCCTTCCACTGCTTCAAACCTAGATTGTTCAAGATCTATGCTTAAACATCTCCTACTGTGAAAACAAAATGGCAATTGAAGATTTAAAAATACATGATTCGTAAAATGTAATCTAAAGAATGTGCCCTAAAATACAGTTTAGTAACTAATCAATGGTGAAATCGGAACTAAAGATTATGATTTCATATCAATCTGCCTAATTTTTAAAACAATTTAAACAAGTCATGTCATGAAGGAGCAGCATAAATTAGTTGCAAAATAAGCAGACTATTCCTATTTCTCAAATACATGTATAAATAGGATTTTTTGTATCACATCTGGTTGAATTCTACTTTAGCTTATAATGGGTCAAATCTTGTTTAAGTACAAAAATGATGTATGTATTAGCACAGGATCAAAATACTTTGCATCTTTCTTGATCACACATGCATGTGCAAACAACAGTTCAAGAGCTATAACTTCTAAATGAAGTAAGATATAGAAATCTAAACATTCCATCATGTGCCATGTATCGGGGTTCATTTACGACTATTTTTACCTATTGCAATACATATTTCCAATGCTAGGTTTATGTCTTTGCTCAGGAGTGGGATAATCTGATTCACATGTACTGTGGTATGAAGGGTTCAGATGCATGGCAGGTGTCTCTTTGCTTAACACACTACTGTCTACGAAATACAGTTTAGGTCTCTGGTGGTATTTTAACCTATATGTATCAGTCATACAATTATCAACTGAAAAGTAAGTCGTAAGAGACACAATGTCATTTGCGTTTGCATCCAATGAGCTAGCACGAGTTCCCATAAGACAAGCCCCCTTGTTTGTAGGATGACTAGAAAGAGCCCACAAATCATTTCCTGATAAACTTGTTGGAAAATCTGTCTTTGAGGACTCGTTGCCATGAAATGATGATTTAGCTCTTTCTTCTTCTGCAAATGAATTTGCTTCAGGTGTAGCTTTTGAAGGAACACTTGCAAGATGCCTTTCAATATTTGAAGGATTTGTGCATGATACTTCGGTTACTTTTGGGTCTACAGTGGAGTCTTGTTCTAATCCATGCAAACTAGTCAGAGCATATTTCTTTGGTGGCAAAGGAGGAGGAAGATTTTGGTAAATTGCTTCTGATGTATCATCAGTCTTGCTTCCATACAAAGGGATTTTATGCTCAACTGATGGAGCTGATTCACTATAGGAAGGTTTGGATATATTCTGTTGCAAAAAAAATGCAAGAGCCGGCTTGGATCTCATTGTCCGTGTCTGGGACAACTGCAACTGGGGGGAGAGAGATTCCTTGTTCAGAATCCTTTCCGCCATGGTTGGGTTCTCCCCATTGTAAGGACTTGCTGAACTCTCAGTACTGTGCACTGGCATGGTTGTTTCATCAAGTACATGGTCCTTAGGCCATCGTCCATTATTTTGCTCATTCAATACACTGTTTTTTGTTCCTTTCTCACTGTGGTCTTTTAAAGTGCTCTGTAGTGTTAAAGGAAAAAACTTCTTATTGCAATCAGGTATGCCAGTCCTAGAACATAAAATATTAAAGGTCAAAGAATTAAAGGTTAAAGAAGGTTAAAGAATTGGTGGTTTAAAATGACAATTCAAACTATGAAAAATATAAATAAGACATTTCATGCTATTTCCCTTATTCTAGACAAGCTTTGAAGTGGTACCATAAGCCAGTTAAACAAGTTCACCTATTTCCAGTATTGGCACAGGACGCAAGTCAGGAGAGTCTACTATTCAGGATTGAGGGATACATGTTGAAACATACTATCCCAGTAGAATGCCAGTGTAGTGCTGGCATTGAATTTTTGCAGTTAGTATGTTGTAAACTGCCTTCAGTCCCCGTCCCCTGTCCCTCCAGGGTGAGAAAGGGGTTTTCCATGTTTTTATTTATTAGGACATTACCAATGAAGGCAAAATCTACATCACTCCTTGTAACCACTAGGAGTAACACCAACATCCTCAAGGTTCCTTGCAAGAAAGGTATATGCCATACAATGAGTGCCCCAGATGTATAGGCACTTGGCTAATTTAGTAATCTTTACTCTATATGAACTCATTTACCCCCAGTAAAACAGCTAACTAACATTTAAACATTACCTCTGTTTATTCACAACCATCATTAATTTCATTTATACCATGTCTTTATAAAAGCGGAGTAGCTAAAAAATCTAGATATGCATCATGTGAAGTTACTGGACCACACCAACCACAAAAATAAAATATTCATCTGCATCTTCCTTTCTCCCAGAAGTCCTTCTTAATGATATTGATTTTAATTGTCCCCCAAAACACTGACAACTTCACATATTTTTTTCCTGCTCACCATCCAATTAATGTTTGATGGCTGCTCAAAAGGTCTCTTTGATTATCTTAGTACATGGACAGGATGAAAGAAAAGAAGGTGCTATTTAGAAAGTTTTAGGTCAAGAGCAGCACTTTGAAACCACAAGTGGAAACAAACAGGAAACCTGCACAGATCATTAAGCACTAGAATAGTGTGTAAGAATGACAGGTAATAACCTTGGCTGCCAAATAAACTGTCATTTCCAAATGTTTTTCCAAAGTAGTCCATGCAGCAATTGTTATAGTTATGTAATTTGAATGCTTCCAATAAGTATGGCTGGAAATGCAGGATTATTTTGAAATTTTGAAATAATAAAAAAGCTTTCATGGTCAATATTTAAAGATGAGTTTTAACCCACATAAATATCTTCTTTAGAAACTATGTAGTTGTTAGACTTAATGAATAGAAGCAAGTAACTTAAGTATCCAAAACTTAGCAGCAAGGATACTGAGTATAGAGCTTTTAAACATATATATATTACCTTTGTCTTGAAAGGATTTGTTTTCAAAATATTAATTACAAGGAAATAAAATTTGGATTCTTGTATGAATTGCTTTAAACTAAATTTTGGCAACCTGAAACCTTTGGAGGCCTCTCCTGCCTCCCTGCTATGCACACCTCAAAATTCTCCTCCTCAGGTAACAGAGGGTTCGGACAGCTAAGTCTATGTAAATTGGCCCAGAAAACAGCTGATTTTCTTAATATGGTTTTTGTGTGTGTGTGTGTCAGAAGCCTTGAGAAACTGCAAATCGCTTCTGATGTGAGAGTATTGGCCGACTGCAAGGATGCTGCCCATGGGATGGCCGGATGTTTTCATGTTTTACCATCCTTGTGGGAGGCTTCTCTCATGTCCCCGCATGGGGGGCTGGGGCTGACAGAGGGAGCTCATCCATACTCTCCCTGGATTCAAACCTCTGACCTGTCAGTTTTCAGTCTTGTTGACACAAGAGTTTAACCCACTGCATCGCCAGGGGCTCCAATATAAGTGTAATTTATATTGAGAATCCTTTGTTCCCTAACCATAAACGACCACAGCATGAATGTCAGATAGATATTCTACTTTGCATGTTCCATTGTTATCTTCTAAAGAAAAGGTTGGAGTGTCTTCCAACCTCTGAGCATCTATTCTCAGGGGGAACATTTAAACTCAGAATTTATTTATGTGTCTATCTGGTATGTTCTATTGTTGGGTCATTCAACAGAAGCATGTTCTTCCATTCCCTGAAGCATCTTTGGAAATCTAGAAAAAGCTAGCATATGACTGAGAGGATGAAGTGCACCGAAAGTCATTATCTGCATGTAATCTTTCACAAGTAAACTAGAGCTGCTTGTTAGGATAGGCCTAGTGTCTGTGTGTGCCTACTAGTACTTCTGTTAAGGAAATGTATGTCTGTATGTTGAGAGAGAAGGGAAGAGTGTATGTTCTTTTTCACCTATAACTGTCCAGCAAAAAGGTTGATTAAGCAGGATCTCCTCTCACAATCAGCACTGTTGTCCTTAAGGGATTCACCAACTGTCCTCTCCTCAAAGGTTATCCAAGACTGCTTTAGACCATATTAAAGCAATTTTTAAAAAGTTACCTTTTCAATGGTGGACTGTGCATCTGTAGATGAGACACTGAAGATGCATTATGAGGTCTACAGTTAATGTGGGTATTGGCTTGATCTTTCTTCAAACCTACAAAACAGTGTTTACATTTAACGTCAACATGATGTTGTTCTGTGCCTTTAATTAATTCCAGACTAAAGCAACCCAATCATGAAGTTTTTTAGCAGGATTTGTTTAGAAGGAAGAGCATGATTTGCCCAAAGGATTTCCACAGCTGAGTGGGGACTCAACTCCTAGTTTTCAGAGTTGTACCTCAATACTCAAACAATGACACCATCCTACACCCTTTAACATATTCCACTATTTTTTTAAAGTCTCATTTAGAACTGATTTATTTATAGTGGTAAAGGACACCCTGTCCCCCACCCACCAAAGGAGGAACATATAATAAATATGGTCAGCTAAAATCTTGAAGCTCTTCACATTTTTTAAAATGCCCTTGAAATGATACGCTTAAATATCAATACATCAAGGAGTCTTTTTAGACACAGGGACATTAGCCAAATTTCAGCCCTTTTAAATCTGTCTGATAGCAAATGAGGAGATTTAAACAAATGCTTTCGGTTGATCTAGCCCACTTGGGATCTTGACTGGAAACCATTAACTTAATATAGATTTCTGAAATGGGACATTATTTGCTCCAGGATACGGAGCTCACTGGATGCTTTCCAGAGGCAAATTGAACATATGTTTAGGGAACTGCACACTATTTCTATCTGTTGACTATTTCTTGCTATTCATATTCTGATACTGAATAATGATGTGTAAATTAATCTGTAGTTAGGACATGATTTGGGAGACATGGGACATAACTATAGTTAAAAAATACAACTCCTGGGCAGGGTGCTTCTATGGCTCCACAGTCTCACGGTGAGAGTACTTCAATGGCCTAGCTGCCTGCTGCCAGCTATAGCAACACCTGCGTGAGGCCATAGCAACACCTCTTCAGCCCTGCTGCCTTACAACTCCTGAGCAAGGCGCTACAGCCTCGCGGCGAGAGTACTTCAATAGCCTGGCTGCCTGGCCACAGCAACACCTTATTGAATGACTCCTTGTGTCTTTATTGTATAAGATCAAGACCAGAATGAAGTCCAAAGAAAATAGCGTACAAATTAGAAACAAATATAATTTGTAAGCCGCTCTGTGTCCCCTTCAGGATAAGAACGGCAGATTAAAGCAGTAAATAAATAAATAAATAAATAAGGAAATTCTACTATTTTGCCAGCATCATACACAATTGATCAAATTCTCCACACAAACCTAACGGTTGTAATCCACTGTCATGCAGTGGCATGCACTAAACAGGAGGGGGCAGTAGATGCTCATAATAGGAGAATGCTATAACATGGCAAGTGTTCAATCAAGCTGCTCACTGACACCAGAAGGTTTTGTGCCTTCAGAATTCCAGCTAATGTAAAAATAGAAGTGTTATTTTTCCCTTCTGCTGACATGAAGATCCATGCATGGTTAAGACCAAAGACAGTCCAATAGGAATTTGGCTCTAGGATCTAGTCAAACTAAATATGGCAGAAGTCAGGCCTAAAGAGCACAGGTTTCATTATTATCAATGAAGCATTAACAGCAACAAAAAGAATTCTGGCTTTGCTTAATTTCAGAACTCACTTGGAGAATTGTTACACCAGATGAGCACTTTAAAGTTCTAAGTGGACAGAGAAGTAGATGTCTCATCTAAAATACTACTGAACCATCTTTCAGAAAACAATTCAGATTATAAAATGGCTGTCATTTTAAAAGACTTTATGGCAGATGTTAGGGAGCCAAGTTTCACTGTAAAAAGGATCAGAGGGAAATGAAAAGTAAATCAGAGCTGTGTTACTGATGCAGCAACTATAAATGTTGAGGGAATTACATTTTTAAAAGATTAATTCTCATTTAAGAATTGCAATTTGCACCGTTTTAATTTTTTTTAAATTACAGAAAAAATACAGTATCATTTATTAATTAAACGTATTTCAATAACACAGTTGAATTCTTACCATCCAAATAATTTTTGTTCTGCTGGGAGGTAGACTGCAAGACACACCCAGAATATCTGACAGAAAGATTCTGGTCACTATAAAACAAAAGGATGTGTCAAAGTATGTAACTGTTGACCAAATGCAGGACATATCTCACTAAACTCTAGTATCAAACATTTCACTAAAAGGCTTATTGCATGGTTATCTTTATCATATGAGAAACTTCTAAAAGTAAAGCTACTCTGCAAAAAGACTTATGCAAAGTAACTTCACTAAATTTCCCCTTATTTCTCTTTCAGTTCTGCAAGATATGTTTATTACCAATTTACTATGTTATTTGTCCACCTTTCAGATAACAGGCAGCCAATGCAGAGGCACCAATATAGTGTACCTGACCAAGCAGAAATTAAATTAGAAAAGGCAAGCAAAGGGACTTGCAAGGTCAGGGTACCTTTGCATGAACTCTCCTCTCTCCCTCCTTCTCTCTGTCTCTCTCTGTCACTCTTCCCGCCCCCCTCCCCCAATACACACACAAACATCGCTGATTTTAATCTAAATATTCTCGCACATTTGGCAGATGTACTAATAGTCCAATTAAAGTGTGTAAGTCTTTGGGGCAGGGAGATTTTTAAAAGCTAAGAAGGAGGGTAAATGCTGCAAACAAATGTCAAACATTATCAGGCGCATTATTAGAACTCTTTTTTTTCTTTTTTACAAATTTTGACTAATAGAATCCCAAAGAGTTTAGTCACAGGAAAGAGTGTACTGGGGTGTGACCTTTTTTCTCACTTGAATTTATTTCATTGTAGTATGCATACTTGTTTCCTCAGTCCAAATTTCAAGACATAATTTTCTAATTGATGACAATATTTTATTATAAAACATATTTTTTAATATGAAACTATTTTTGTTACCTGCAAGAAGTGTTTTCTTTAGTAACTGCGTTATCAACTGGGCTGGTTCCTTCAATGATAGGTGAATCCAAATTGGCAGATGCATTGCTGATATGATCACTGCTTTCATAACCAGACTCAGTCCGTTGTATCTGCCAACTGTCTATATGAACTTTTCTCTCTGTAAATCCTTTGCTTTTTTCTGCATTTTCTTTCCCTTCTGAATCAAAGGAATTTCGATTCCCTGCCTGCTTTGTTTCATCTTCATAAATAGTCATAAGGGCTTTTTGACTTGCATTTTCTTTGGGCCAGTTGTTTGAACTTGTCTCTTTTTCATGCTTAGGTTTGCTATTTGCATTTAATTTTGTCTTTGAGCTATGCTCTTTTCTCTCAGATTCACTAAAGATGCTATCAACATTCAGTGTCTCTCGCATGGGCTTCCACCCTCTACTTCGACTTTTGCTGCTGCTGACACTTCCTTTGTCTTTAGAGTCTTGGCTACTATCTGTTTCATAACCGGTGATGCTATCAGCCTTCATTCGACTCATCTTCTCTCCATCAGTAAAGCCATCTGTTTTACTGGATCCCAACACCTGTGCAGTGGGTCTGACCTGGTTGTGAACCTTTTCGTGCCTGTATGGTCCTCTGCCCTGACTGTTATACAGTCGTTCGTTGGAATGAGGTCTAAATCCATTACCAGAAGGAGGTGATCCTGGTTTAAAATGAGTTTGGACGTCTCTAGATAGGTCTTTAAAACAAAAAGGAAAGAAAAACAAGAGAGAAATAACATTTTAAGTAGGCTTCAGAGGATTAAATTCTTGCTCTAGTTTGAAAAGTAATTTATTATTTTTGTCAGCCCATTAGAAATTCAAAGCAAACATTCAAAGAGAACATTTAAAAACAAGGGATTCTTTAATCAGAGTGTGTGGGAGAGATTAGTCGTAGGAAGCTTTCCCTTCTCAAACAAGAGTTTGTTACCTTTCTGTTTCCCTGATTCTCTCTTTGATCCTCTGTCCACATCTTTTCTTAAAGAAGATGAGATATTTTTCATCTCAGAAACCTTCTGAGCACACTCTCTGGAAATGTCCTTTGCCTTTTCCCTCTGCTCACTATGCCCTAATTTCCCTGAAATGATAGATATTAACATGTATTATGGATTCAATCATTAAGGAAACAGGCAATTCAATCCAACCACCTTGTCATTAAGGACCGTATACAGTATATCAACCAAACCAATCATAAGAACAGCAACATGCTTTCAGATGAATAGGAAAACAACAGGATTATAAATAGTTCTCTGTGTATGGAAGGAATATATATATATATTCTACCGATAAAATCCCTATTCCTGGGAGCTTCATAATTCTACACAATATGAGAAAAGCTAACAGAAGTAGCCATCTAGTGTCTCAAGTGTTGGGTTTTGATCAATACTCTATTCTTCTGCATATTGTAATCATTAGTATAATTTGAGATGTGTGAACTAATTTTGATCAAAATTAAAATCAACTCTTTTAAGCTGCAATTTAGTCATGTAGAAAATAGGATGAGAATTCCTTCACCAGCAGAATTTCTCAATTGGTGATCTGTTTGACAATTCTTCTCACAACCTTGGGGTTGTGAGAGAAAAGTAGGAATTGTTCCCTTAACTGCAGCCACTGATTCCTCCAATCATATAAATAGTTCAAAATGCTGAAAGATCTTTTGGTACGAAAATGCAATAATCCTCAGAGCTTGCTGATGCAGTCTAAATCACAGCATAATAGTAAATCATGCCCCAAATTTCCTTACTGAAGGCAGTCTCCAAGTTACAAACAAGATAGCTTCTGTAGATTTGTTCTTAAGTTGAATTTGTATGTAAGTCTGAACAGGTACATTTTTAAATGTAACTCCAGTCAAATGTATATGTAAGCTTTGGATATGATAGGGAAGGGTTAACACCCATGTGGGTTTTTTTTGTTTGCTATCTATGCCCCTGTTCAGAAGATTTCACCTCACTTTCTGTCCGTGTGATAACTGATTTTGAAAAACTTGGGTTTGTTGTGAAAACAAGGATTAGTGACATAGCTTCAGATGAGACACCTTTTCCCATGATAACTGTTCCAGGAGTGAATTTTCCTTCCTAGAGGGAGATTTTTGTCACTTTCTGTTGTCTCACCCCTGTCCTTAACTATGAGTCATTTGTAAGTCAGATGTTTGTAACTCGGGGACTACCTTGTATTTTCATGATGTGCATCATACTCCAGGTTGTTGTTTTTCATCCTTGACTGCAGCCAAGATTGGATACAGGACTTTGCCCTTAGGAAATAGATTTTTGTAAAAATCTGTTTTTGGTTGGTGATCACCAAAGCCAGACAGGTTGTGACCAAATCTGTTTTTGCTTCATGTTTTATGAGCACTGGTCAGTTAGCAATTAACTGTAATAACATAAGAATCATTCTATGTAACAGTTCAAGCATGTATTACACAATTACATTATTATTTTTAACAGCTACATTTTAAAGGTTATTAAGCAATTATGCACAACAAGCTTTGTAAATGACACTGTTGAAAATGAATGCAAGAAGTTTTAATATATATACCTGATCCTCTGACACCACCATATTGAATATGATTCCGATTAAGAGATGAGTGTTCTGGTTGAATTTTTTTAGTGCTTTTCTGAACAACAGATTCTTCAAATCCATTCTCTTTTGTATGGTCTAATTTTGGAAAAGTAGACTTTTCAAATCCTAGTAAGGTACATGCAACAATTTAAGTATTTCTTTAAAAAAAGTGTATACATTCAAAATTAATTTTTATCAGTCTAAAATAATTAATTCATTAAAAAAAGATGTGATTATCTAACAATCATGCCACAATAGTAAAGCTAAATGGAGAGTCAAAAAGATAAGGAAGCAAAATACATAAATCAAATTGCTCCAGAATTTGAGATAGGCCTCCCCTGCCCCCCATCTCCATTCAACAGGAGGACTGCTGCGAATCCTTCACATTGATAGAACAGACTGCAAGTTTATACAATTTAAATAATCCAGAAACAAGTCTCTCATTGATGTATGTTCATATTGTTTCTCAGGCACTGGTTCAATCTAGGCAACTAAACCACATTAATTCACAGCTAAATTAATTTGTTTACACACTTATATTCTTACAACTAGGGTCTATATGCAGATATGCTGTTACTATATGCTGCCTGTGTTGTTTTTTAGGCGATATACTGTGCTTCATATTTAAAATATACTCAGTAGCTTATGAACAAAGCCTTTGTTTGGAAAGATATGATAGGTTAAGCACTGGGCAATTTTTCTTTTCCTCTTTTTTATCTTGCTCCTTCATGCTTCATTAAATTTTTTTTTAGAGCTGAATAAAAGAGATTTTTTTTAATTCAGAAAACTGAGGGCAAGAGCAGAACTAACAAATGGGCAAATATCACAAAACATATGATAGAAGCGGTCCAAAAAACAATAACATTGGGCTGGAAAGAGCAGGAAAATGGGAATTTTATAAAATGGATTCAGTATTTAGCAGATTGTATACTCCATGATTATATTTTGAAAGGAGAATGAAATACACAACAGGCTGTTGTAAGAAGAAATGGGACTCGAAGTGGGGAATTCTAATAGCTAGAGTAAAAGGAAAAAGAAAATATAAAGAACTAAATCACACCCTCTTCACAACTGATCAATTCAAATAATACTCCAATTGAAGATACACCTGTTTCCAGTGGATGGGGGCAAAGGGGGAGGGAGGGGGCAGGGAAAGAAAAGCTACTGGACACAAGTCGTTGACAAATGTGGAATTCGAATTCGTAAAGTTAAGGAAATAAGAGACACTATATTGAGTGAAAATGTAAGTGGAATTTCATTATGAAGATTTACTCTACTTGTGTCTACAATTAATAATAAAAAAATGTTCATTTAAGATAACCTCCTGCTTCCCCACATAAAAGGGATCTTTGTGACTGCCAGATACAGCTAAGGTTTCATAACTTCTTAGACAACTGTTTATTTTTACAAAAGTAAAATGAAACAATGAAATAATTATAATAGCTAGGCACAGTGTAAACATTTGTGTATAAGAACAAATCAAACTATTTCTTCCTTTACATAGATTGTGTTTTAAAAGTCTTTTCCAGTTGGCAGAGTAACTGGTTCTATTTGGGAATTGTGTTTGGAGACTTGCAATGGTATTCTATGTGAGATTACTCAAATGTAAGTCCTACTGAGTTCCATTTGGCTTACCTACAAGAAAAATGGCTATGGGATTACAGCGTAAATACAAAGCCTTCCTACTTATATTCATATTATACACATAATATGAATTGGACAGGTACAAGAACATTACAACATAGTGAGCATACAGCACAAGAAAGAGACCAAAGGATTATTTTTCTTTTAATAGCAACCATCTCAGGAAACAAGTGAATAAACAGACTACATACAGATTCATATATTTTCTTCTATTAATAAAATAAAAATTAATTTGCAAAGATCTTTATTACCAGATTCTTCTCCATTTCCTCCAGAGGCTTTATAATGTGACCAGTGAATTATCTGTCGAGGTGCATCTTCTGTTGATACCGGTGTACCATCCGGGTTTGCATAAAATAACAGCAGTGGCTGAAAGTGGCACCGAATGCACTTGGACACCACATCCTTCCATTTTGTTCCAACCTAAATATGTTTTCAGCAAAACATTTAGAGGGGAAATGTTTAATGAATTTGAGAACACACACACACACACTCAATGAAATTTGGCATCACATGAAGGGATAAGAACTACTTTTTATGTGTTTACCCAACTCAACATTGGATAATGTTCTTTTCATTTACTTTCAACTTTGATAGAAAGTATGTATGTTTAATGAAACACCGGGTAATTTGGTTTAATATCAAACTTGAAGGCTCTCAGAACTTTACATAAACCTCCCTCACAGTTCTATAGCACACCCAGATGTAAAGTAAAATGCCAAAAATAAGTACATGAGAGCTTACCTCTTTCACATTAGCATCATCAAATAACACCCATTTGCAACTCTTGGTATGAAAGGCAAAGGCACAGTAATGTTTGCTTGCATAGCAAATCATCCCAACAAGAAAAAGCTCACTATTTTTGGCACGTTCATCGGTAACCCTATAAAACAGCTGGAAAAACAATTATCAGTCAACAAGTGGCATAGCAGAAAAGCAAGTTTAAATTGAAAACTTTATTTTAAATTGTGATAGAAAAGATAAAAGGCCATTATCCACAATATGATTTGAAGTCTATTCAGTCCTGGTGGGTTTTTTTTTTTAAGCTTCTTCTCAGAGGGTATAGTACTGGATTATTTGACATAAACTCAACATTCAAATGGTGCCATAGCAGCAGCCAACATAAATTTCTTTCCTTCTTTCTTTCCCCTCCTTCTTCCCCTTTCCTGAAAACACCAGTTCCAGAGTATCTTTTAAGTCTTCGAGAGAAGGTTCTGAGTATACTGGGGCATAAAACTAAAGGCTTCATCACACTGGAGAAAAAAAATCCACTTAAAATTCAGATGCTGCCTCCTGCAGAATTCTGGGGTTTGTAGTTTAGAGGGGAGCCTTTGACAGCCTCACTTAACTACAAACCCCAGAATTCTGCAGGAGGCAGAAACCAGATTTTAAGTGGATTTTTTTTCTCTAGTATGATGAAGTGGAAGGGCTAGCAATGGGAAAACAAGAGGTTTTATTAACTCTTATGAACTGCAACACACCCATTCTCCACATAAAGATCTAAACATTTTAAAAGGCTCTTACTTACGGGTTAGATAAAATGTGATATCAGTATATGTACAAGATTGAAAATCTCTGTGATACTTCATGAACATAAAATGTATTATGACTAATTCAGTCCAGCATACAGTTATTATGTTTGGTATGTTTTAAAAGTAGTTTATTCAAAAAATGAATTACTAACTGAGCTCCCTTTTAAAAATGTAATTGTTGTATTACAAGTGGAGCCATAAGGCTCTCACTCTTCTCTTTTGGAAAGTCTTCTGGAAATCTCTTCTGTTTTGCCAGTTGATTAAAAAAGGGCAAGCAAATAACACAAACAGAAGGATCAAGCAACATTATTAAAACAGAGAATTATTTTGTCTTCTGTAGTTCTCTACAGTGTCAAGCAGACATAAAGCATCAGGGTAACAGGGACAAACAAGTTTTATGTATTTTCCTGATTCCGCCCCCCCCCCCCCCGGGTCTTTGTATCTTCAATTGCAACATATTATTTCATAAAACCTCTGTTACTTAGTCTTAAAACTAAAAAAAAAAAAAAAAAAAGAGCCTGTTTTTGGTTAGGACATGATACACACTTAACTGTAAGTCATATGGACCTCAGTGGGATTTGCTTCTGAGTTTAGAATTACCATATTGGAAAATATGTTCTAACACAGAAAAAGGTTTCAAGTAGTTTTGATAAAGATGCAAACATGGGAATACAGTTTATATTAAACAATGTGGTTTAAATACCCCTGGAAGATAGAGCTGTGTTGCCAGGTTTCGGATAACATCTTCGGTCAGGTCAGAATGTTCTGAATCCCAAACTAAACCAATTGTGACAATTTCAGGACAATTCATCAGAACTCGGCGGATTTTTATTTTTTGGCCACAGTTGCTCTAGAAAAAGCAAGGAAAAGTACATAGGTTTAATTTGTATGTCTTCTTTTTAACAAGATGGAATTCAAATTGCAGCACTTACATTAATCACATATCTTCTTTTACTTTATTTCTAACTGAAATGGTAAGTAGCCCACACTAAATGCTTATAATATGGCCCTATGCATCTGATTTTACTGTTAAATTTATACAACAGAGATTTGGAAAGGTATTGATTAGTTCTCTGATCACTGTTGTCCAATAGTTTTCATTTTATCTACAATAAAGTTAGCCAGTGACAGAAACATTGTCTAAGAATTTCAAAATTTTTTGCGATGACTCAAATGAAACCTGTTTCATTTTATTACAGCTGTTTTTTGTAACAATGTTTTAAAGCATTTTTAACCAGAATAGTTTATTATAGTGATGGTTCAAACTAGAAAATAAATGGTTGAGTATCCCTTATATTTTTGGTTCTTTGGGACCAGAAATATTTCATCATTTAGATTTTTATATATATATATATATATTGGAATTTGGAATACAGGCAGCACTTGAGTTACAAACATCCGACTTACAAACAACTCATAGTTAAGAAAGGGGGTGAGACAACAGCAAGTGAGAGTAATCTATCCCTAGGGAGGGAAATTCACTCCTGAATTAATTATCATGGAGAAAAACATTATTATTATTATTATTATTATTATTATTATTATTAAGAATATTATTAATATTAATAATTTTTTTAATTTATTTGTATCCCACGTTTCTCCTATGGGTGGGACTCAAAGCGACTGAAGCTTTATTAATTCTTTGTTTCCACAACAAACCAAATTTTTCAAAATCCAAGTATCACAGAGACAGAAAGTGAGGTGAAATGAAAGTGAGGGGAGGGGGGGGGGGCAAAACAAACACCACAGGAGTGTTAACTCTTACCTATGCTATCTAAAGCTTATATATATACACACACACTTGGCTGGTGTTATATTAAGTGTGATTATCCTAGTCAACCAACTGGACAATTTTTGGATTTTAGAGTAGTTTGGATTTTGGAATTCCAGATAAAAGATGTTCAACTTCTGCCTGAGAAGTCCATATAGCAACAATTGATTTAAACCAAAGTTATCCATAATATACTTCCATACTTTTAATTTTAAGTATGCACAGAATATATTTTATGAACACACATTTATCCAGTTGTGCGCATACTTTATACAGTAGAACCTTTATATACGAATGTCCCAACTTAAGTATGTTCTAACTTGCAGATCCTCACTCGGCCTAGAGCAATGGTTCTCAACCTGTGGGTCTCCATGTGTTTTGGCCCTCAACTCCCAGAAACTCTAATAGCTGGTCAACTGACTGGGATTTCTGGGAGTTGTAGGCCAAAGCACCTGGGGATCCACAAGTTGATAATCAATGGTCTAAAGTGACTTTTGACATCCGAACACTGTTTTGATGTACAAACTGTGCAAAAGAAGCCTCTTTGCCCCTTAAACCAGTTTTAACAGCAAGGCAGAGAGAAACAAAACCTGGACTGGATTCCTAGCTGGAGCACCCTTGGCTCTTTCTGCAAAGCATAAACTCCAGCTCCATGTGACTGCTTCCCCTGAATGTTCTGGGAGGACTCCAATCTGGAGATTCCACTCCAGAGAATGCAGTCCACCCTGGTGCAGTAGAGCTTCAGCCTACAGAGAGAGTACAGGGCTTCCAGCAGACTGAAGTAGCCATTGTACCTCATGGCTCAGTGCTTTTGTCAGTGTGCCGCGTGCTCTTCTCCATTTTGGGAGATTTAAGGCCACTGAGAAAATTTGAGTTAATTCACTTTGTGTGCTTTTTATTCCTAGTACTATATAATTAGCTTCAAGCAGAGAGAAAGGAAGAGGGTGAGCAAGAGATGGAAGGAGTACCATATGAAGAAAATGATGCTGTTTTGCCTTGCTGTTACACTGGCCAACACACATTTTCTGGCCTCAAATGTGCTTCCTTGACACAGTGGCTGGATGGAACCAGGCACTGCCTATCTTTGAACATTTAATACATTTTATTTGTTATTTATAAAGTACATTTTCTTATTTAAAACACATAAAAAATTGGGGTGGTTTTCGGGGCGGGGCAGAATGGATTAATAGCATTTCAATGGGGACATTCACTTTGAGATAATGTTTTGACCTAAGAATATAGCCACAGAACGAATTAAATTCTTAAGTCAAGGTCCACATACCAAGTGTAAGAGATGCACTAAGTACAGGCCATCCCCAAGTTATGAACAAGATAGCTTCTATCCCTGTGATAACTTGATTTTGAAAAATTTGGATAATTGTGAAAACAAGGATTTGGCGAGAAAGTTTCAGTGGAAACACCTTTTTTCATAATAACTGTTCCTGAAGTGAATTTTCCTTCCTAGGGGTAGATTTTTCTCACTTCCTGTTGTTTCACCCCCCTTTCTTAACTATGAGTCATTTGTAAGTCAGATGTCTTGTAACTCAAGTGCTGCCTGAAAAGAGTATCTCACTTTTTCATGTCATAAGAATTTCTGAAATAAATTATTTCATCTGAAACCCTTAGAAAAATGGCCAGTGGTTTTAATCCACCCTTTCAAGAGATGACTACTTATATTCCCTGAGGCTTTGCCTTTCTCCAGTGTGTCTCTCACACTCAGAGTGCATTAATAAAGGAGACATTACAGTCTAACACTTGTAGACTGTGGATTACTTCAGGAATATCACATTTTTAAAGTTACTATTCCTTTTTCAATCCTATTTTGACCATGAGTGTTCAGCTTCACTGCTATCAAGGGCGGTTTGTCCAAACTGAAGAGTGATTTTTAACGTTTACTTACAGGGCAATTCCTGAAGTCATCTGTAGTGTTTGCAGCTTGGAGCAGTTCTGCAAACATTTCAGGCTTGAGGCGTTCGTGCCTTTCAAACATTCTATCTACTTCATTGCTATGAAGGAAAATGGTTAATATTTTAGTATAAAACACCATGGCAATAAACAAAAGTTTTCAGCAAGTTCTATAAACTCTAAAGGAGGCAAGTGACATCAATCTACTTTTAGGCATGGCTTATTTTTTTTAACACATTTAGCTTTATTTGGAATTGTGAATTCCTAAATTTATTTAAGTGGAATATATTATAGTATAAGGAGAAGTGGATAAATATTATATGTGGATCAAAATAATTTCATGACTCATTAGTCAGCGAAACAAATATTCTTCTATCATTACAACAGCTTAGGCATCATGAATTAGTTTGCGAGAGTTTGCAATTATACTGACTACATCTACCACTGTTATTTAGATCCCAAAAATTTCTACAAAGTATTTTGTACAGAACTAAATTCCACTAAACAGAAGCCGTTCTGTCAATGGAAGTTCTCTATTAGATACTGTCCATTAGTATTAAGAATTCATAATTCTGGCCATTAGTATTAAGAATTCATAATTCTCATGTCATAAGATTCTGTTTTTTAAAAATAGTATCTTCATTATGCCAACATAACAGGCACAAAGACAAAATCTCTCTTACCACAAGGCTGTAGTTGAAATGTAACGCACAAATTCTGTGAAAGGCAAAGGATCCGAAGATGCCCCGCAACTGCGACACACACACTATAAATTAAAAGAAAAATCAGTTTCTACAGCCTTTAAAATATCTTCAAAATAATAGAAGTGATATAAAGATATATCTTACCTGTTCATATAATGTCATAGCAAACTTCTGATGAGTAATGCAGGATTTAGAAGTGCACATATCTGTTTCACTGCTTGGCACTATGTGATAGTGAATCCTTTCAAGAATATTTTCCTAAATGAAAGAATGTTGCATTTAAAACATTTATATTGTTCTTCCCATTATTCAGGTTTTTAAAGCAGCTTCCAAGGAAAAAGTAATATAAGCATGACTTATATGGCCCCGCGACTCTGGAACTCTCTCCCACCGGAGGTCAGAACTGCCCCGTCTATCCTGACATTTAGGAAACGGGTGAAGATGTGGTTGTGGAGACAGGCTTTCGATGAATGAGACAACACCCTAGGATTTTGGATGGAAGATGATGTATATTTAATTTTAATATGATTGACCACCGTCATTTTAAATATATTGTTATTTTAAATGTGTTACTGTAATTGTGAACTATGATATTTTACTGATTGTATGTGTTTTTATGGTTGGAAACCGGGCTGAGTCCCTCAATGAGGTGAGAAGGTCGGTATGGAAAACTTTGAAATAAATAATTAATGACTTTCGAGTACGTTAAAAAAAGTTTTTAGTTTCTGAAAGTGCAAGATTTTGTATCGGGAACTTTCAGTTGTTTCCTTCTTCTACTTCTGGTGCTGATATCAGAGCGACAGCGTTCTCTCCATTTTATACCCGGCCTGAGGGGAGGGGGGGGGGAGTAACCCGAACAATCATATATAACATGTTACAATATTCCACTTAATGTCAGGAACGTATTCATTAACAATAGATTACAGAATTGTTGCTTACATATTATGTGTTTTTCTTTGAATCGAAACAGAAGTTAAAACATGTTACAACCCAGAAAATGTCAAAGCTGTTTTGAATCCCACCCATGGGAGAAAAGCAGGCCAAAATAAATAAATAAATAAATAGTGAAAAAGAGTAAAAAAAGATCGAAATGTTTATATCCCATCATCTGCTTTAGCTAACCCATCCACCAAAATGGCAACAATTTATCAAAAAGAGGTCTTAATCATTTTTACATGGAGGTTACTTACAAAACATTCTGCTGCATCATCCATAAAGCCAAGTTGAAATCGTTGTTCATCTTTAAAGCTTTCAGCTAAGGCATGCCTCATGTTATTAGATGGGAGTGCTTTTTCTCGACTATGCTGGAATTGTGCAAATATGGTCTGAAAGCCAACAGTAGCATTAATTAAGCTATATCTATCTACCTATTAAAATTTGTTGTTTGAAAAGTACAGCATATCTCACTTTTTCAAATCTAAAAGACAATCCAGTGATGTTTGGATATCAAGAACACAGTGCAGTTATCTAATAAAATATAACTACTTAGTTTATTAAATACAATTATTTGGTTTTCCTATGCCCTCTTTTTTGCACATTTAGATCTTGGTGAAAAGACTGTTGGGGAGCAGATCTTTGCTACTGCTTTACTGATGAAAAGATCACAAAAGGCTGGCACCCTGCTTTTTAAAATAAGGAATCAGATGCCTCTGAAAAGCCCACAAAAGGGACATAAAAGCAACAACTCTTCTTCTATTGTTGGTCCCTGCCAAATCCAAGCAAAGAGGCTCCTGATAGCTATGTACAATATATTTCAGAACAGGCTGCAGAGTATTTCAACCTCTATCAAGAATTGCTTCTGGGGAGAATTCCAGCCAATCACGGCATCCTCGAGGATACTCCCAAAGTGCTGTGTCTTAAGCAGATTGTATCTCATTTTTGTTTTTCTCTTTCAAATGTATTAGACTATGCAAATTATGTAAATGGTAACAGTTAAAAGTTGTCAAAAATATTACCTTAGAAAATGAATCAATTCTAAATTACTCTAAATTTGTGATAAAGTTATTTAGTCTGCTTTTCCTATATTATTCAATAAAGTGGGAAAACTATACAAAATCAAAATATGTTGATTTTATATACATGTTATGTTAGAAATTATTATTACTTAGAACTTTATTCTGTCAAAATTAGTTGTCAATCCATATAAGAAGGGTAACACAATTTTACATTTACCTTCAGAGCACAAAATATACAGGCATCACCCTGACAAACATGACCGGTTAGTCCTCTTAAACTGCGTCGGAATATGTCAAGTTGCCATAAAACCTACAAGGAAGATGAAAAAGGTGAGGATAAAGGTTTTTCTTTCTTTCCCAATGATTTTCCTGACTCAAATTCGAAAGCCTACAAGCTTTTCTGCTAGTGATTTACAAACAGGATACTTTCCCTTACTATTTTTTGTAAAATCTAACAAAATTCAATACAACAAATGTTAAACATTATCAGTATTCACTACTGTGAATGTTCCTTCAGACTAGTCCATTATTGCTCAAATCATCTGACAACCTTTTAAGCAGTCCCAAACAATGTTTTACTCAGTAACTACCATGGTCTTTTACAGATGCTTAATTACCTTTACACTCTTCTGCATCAATATAGCAGTTTGAAATACTTTCATTGCCATGGCTGCATTCTGTAGTATCCCGGGATTAATAATTTTGTGTGACATTACATCTCTCTATCACAAAATTCTAAATAGCCTTCTCATAACTACAAACCCTGGGATTCAAAGACTGCAGTTATGCTGGTTCACATAGTATCAAGGGTTTATAAGAAGCTATAAGACAAAGTAATATGGACATCTTGATATCTTAAAAGCAATAGTTATCATTTGATTCACTGCAATTATGTTGTGTTCCAAAAAAAGTTATACAAATAAAAGTTACAAGAACTATTGTTAGAAGAATAAAGGGATGCTATTTACATTCTTGTAAAATGAATAATTATGGACAAGTCTCCCTTATGTTTGGGGCCAGATGTTTTTTCAGATTGTGGAATACCTGTATTTGCATATAAATAGTGACAGAAGTGGGTGGGTGGCAGCAAAAAGTTTCATGTTTTGGAGTAGTTTGAAATTCTGATTCAAAGGGGAGACTGAATTTTGAATTTATTCCAATAAATATATTATTGTTTAAATGTCTATGAAGACATACTAGAGTTTATTTAGACAGGCTTGCTTCAAACACTGTGATTCTAATTGGTGAACAGATTAAATTTTCTCATTTTGAAAGAGCAAATCTTCACAATCTGGCTGCCCTTTTCAAAGAACATCCCAATTGGATTAAAAGATGAATGAAAGTGACATGATATCTCCTATAAACAACAAAATAGTGGCTGCAGCATCATGATGCAGACCTCTAGAGCCCTGGACAGTGCCAAAATGTAGAGGTGAAACCCTCTTGGATTTATTATTTAATTTAAAGAAATCTTTAAAAGAAATTTTAAAAGCACAATTAAAACTCATAAATGAAATCTAAAACCAATCCTAGAATTGAATTTTAAAATAGCAAAAATAGCAACTTTATCACTGAATGCAATAGAAAACAGTACTGTATCCAGTGCACACCAGAAGATTAAGGTGCAAGCTGAACTTCCTGGGGTAGGTAGCTCCACAGTTAATAACTATATTATTAAAAGGATGAATTTTGTTTATTTAACCAGAATAAAATTGTCATTTCATTTGGTTTAAATAACTAAATTTAAATTGATCTACTTTACTAGTATGATATTTAGTCCTCACATGAAGGTACTCTAGATTTTGTTTTCTATTAATTTTCTATTTATTGTTGCTTGCTTTTCTGGGAAATATCATGTGAAAGCTTAAGAGATAAATATATTTTGCATCTGCTTTACGAACGTTCATTCATTTATTATTGGACTAAATCCAATTGCTAGTCTGCATCAGGGAAGATGCATGAAATCATTAAACCTTATATATGTATGGTGTTATCATGCAGCAACTAATTCACTGTGTCTCTGTAGCAACAGTACTTAATTCATTGATAATACATTTCAGAATTGGCATAGTTACTGTGAAATATACAGGAATACCGCAGGCTGGACAACTTCATTCAGCAAGCTTGGGGATTAATTTTTCCATCCCTAGGACACTCCAAGGGCTCCAGAGATTAACAAAAATGGAATAACTAAATAAAAAATCAAATGTCCATTTCTGATTTTGAAAAAGAAATGTAGAGTTATATTAAACAGTTGAACAGGGCAGTGTATTTTAAAGCTGAATTACCAGTCCTGGAGACTTCCAGGAATGGTTCTTCATCCTTCTGTTATGAGAAAAAGGGGAGTCTTGATTCACAAACACAGACTTGGGGGCTGCATGCAGTGCCAGAACTTCACTTTGCCCTGCTCCAATTTATAGAATTTGCTTTCAGACTTTGCAAGTACATTCATAGTGACTCTCTGTATTTCTGATTTATTAAAATGTATACTATAACGAATATATAACCCTTTTCCTTTCTCCACACATAGTAAATACTTAGTTGCAACAGTATCAAAATGCCTTACAGTATTTATACTAATTAATTTGTTGACTTATTACAGAGGCAGATATCTACAGCAGACAAACAAATGTGTAAATTTAAAGATTTCTTTCTCTTAGAATGGGAATTGAACTAGTTCCAAGAATCAGACTGCCTGTTATGCTGATGTAACAATGCAGAGCTTCCATAAAACCGCTCTGTTCTGCCTATATCATTTATACACTCCTCTCTGACATCATTGTGTTCCTACTCCAGAGTGAGCTTAGTGCTCTCTGTAAGGAAAAGATACATATCTAATCTCTCAGCTAGAAGATAAGGGCATTCCTATCTAATAAGGAATATTGAGAATGCAAACAGAGTCAGTACAAGTATGTCGCTATCTCTTGGATCAGAGGTGGTGGCAGCAGGATTTAGCCCTTACCTGACTTGCATTCCCAGGCCATAAAAAGAATAAACTGTTTCTCATGAAAGCCTCAAGAATCAGCAATTAATTGAAAAGACAAATGAGTATTAGGGAATCCTACTACAATCCAATCTTAGGCCAGAGATAAGTGGGATTCTCTTGCCCAGAACTTGCCTCTCAAATTGGGAATGGGAAATTTTGGGGGGAGGGAGGAGGGAGGAGAGATATCTTTGGGAAAGTGCATTCCCATACACACCACAGGGTAAATGCAGACCCCTAAAAGGCAGGAAAATCCCCTCCTCATAATTTCTTCAGAAGTCAATATGACCTATACATTTGGGGAAAGCTTCTGTAGGAGTTAAGCAACAAGGCCAACTCCCCATCTTCTTCAGAACTAAAACATGTCATCGTTCTTTGAGACAAATCTTTCTAAAAAAAATATAGGAAGGGAAAATGGATGTTACTGTTGCCCCTGTGTGTATACTTAGAGATGGGAAGAGAGCAAACAGAGACAGCATCAAGGGCATAGAAAGAAATGTGGCAGTGGAGATAGGGAGCAATGCGTATCCTATATAGTCTGAGCTTTAGCAATTGCCTAAATATGCAAACTCCTGACACTGCTTTTTGAACATTTTTAAATAAAATTTCCTTTGTTATATGAAATGACATATGAATTTGGTTTCTACTGCTTGTGTGTTTATCACAGGTATTTTTTAATACCAATGGCCGTGGGCTTCCCAAAAGCATGTTTTTGGCCACTAATGAATTAGATTGAATAATGCCTTGGTGTATCCAGCAGGATTTTTATATTTCTGATTTAATTATTTGTTTGATATTCTTTGAAGTTAATTTTGAAGTATTTGTAGGAAGGATATTTGCCTACATTCTCTGCTTGCACTTTCTTGTTTTATCCATTATAAAGGAGATAATTATTAAAGCTATTCATATTTTTAACAGAAACTGAGATCAATATAGCTTTTCAACACATTTTGGTATACTTTACCATTAAAAATAAATGTTTTTATATTCTTGCTTCCTTACCTGTACAGCACTGTTCAGAAAACAGCTGTTTTGTCCTGGTTCATTTAAAAGTCCCTTGGTAGGAGCCAGTGACATGACACTTCCCGGTTGATACACTTTTCCAAGGTTTCCTCCAGGTTTTCTCAGGAACTTTACCCATGCCATTTTTCATGAAATAAATATGTCTTGATAAAATGTGAGTAAGGACTCCAAGCAAACACAATAATTTCTGACAATCACCTTTGAAAAGTTATGGCATTGTACTAAAATAAACTTTTAACTTTTTATATCACACCAAGCTAGTAATAGTTCTGCTTTGTTTTGTTTGAGAATAGCTTGGTTTTTTTAAAAAAGGAGACAAAAAACTCATGGGTGAATAAATTAAAATATACTTAAAAACCATAAAATCTTGAAATTCTTCATAAAAGTTACTACTTCTTTACTTTCATCTCAGTGCACATTAGTTTTTGAAAGAGAGTCTTTTAATATTATGACAATTGTCTATTACAAATTAGGAGTTCTTAGTATTATGTTCAGTATAAGGGTGCAGATCCTTCTTCAGTTTCGGAAATCACATTTCTTTCTTCAGAAGTAATTCCACTGTGCACAATACATATTTTTCTTCTCCCAAAGTCTGTCAAGAAAGAAAGAGAAAGTTTTAAAGTTATTATATGAAACATAGAATCACAAGAGTGTGTTCTCATTCTTCTGCCCAGCTCAGCTAGTCCCGCCCAAGATGCCCTTCCTTATGGCGACTGGCAAGCAGCCTTGGTCCAAATTTAAAATGACTTTTGGAGGCTTCTGAATGTTACAAAATCTTAACCAAAATTATTGGTGAGTGTTTTGATTCTTAATTTTTTTCTCCCCCTTTCCTGCATGTTTCTTAATAGAGATTCATTTGCACAAATCTAATGAATTACTAATGATTTACAAGGCTAACTACAGTTTTGCACAGCTCTAGTATGCATATATGTATTATTATATATAATTACTTTTTATATTTGGGGGAGGAAATAGGCTCGGAGTTTTTGTGTGAGAGAAAGAGAACATACACAGAAGCCACAAGAAAAATATAAAAGTCAAAGAGGTGAACAACAAACAACTTTCAGGGGTTCAAGGGGGTCAGGCTATTCCCTCCCTTCACTAAACCAACCCAATATTTAAACAAACACCCCCATGCACTCTCATACACACCCCAAACATTTACACATCCGCGCTTCCTTAGTGATTTTTTTAAAAAAAAGATCTGAAAGATATTAAACTAAGAAAATGTAATTACATTGCCAAGAGAAAAGACATGGTACACAGGGTACTTTGATCCTAAAGGTGGCAATATGTGCAGTGAAGAAAGCTTTCTTTTCTGCACACATTGTGTCTGTAGATTAATGTCCAGATGATCTGTTCAGAGTGGTGAGAGGCTTAACCCAAGTGCCCTCCCCTCCAAACCCATTGCTAGAACCTTCGGTAGCTCACTGAGATGCTTTTAACAACCAAATCTCTCGCATAAGAATGGACTTGGATGTTGTCATTGGAGCAGAAGTCAACGACGAAGTGTCCTATAACTCTGTAAGTGGGATTACACTGGGTTAGTTTCAATTGGTGAGTGCTGTTGATGTGGACAAGCTGCTAGGGCAAGTAAGGAGGACAACCTGCTTTCTTGATTCCTGTCCCTCTTGGCTGGTCATCCAGAGAGGAGATACAATTCATCTCAAATACAATAAATTATTAATGCATCACTCAGGGAGGGGAATTTCCGATCCTGTTTAGAAGAAGCATTAGTTAGACCGCTACTAAAGAAACTCTCCCTGGATTCCCTCGTTCTTAATAATTACAGACCAGTATCTAACCTTCCTTTTTTGGGCAAGGTAACTGAGAAGTTAGTAGCCCTCCAACTCCAGGCAGTCTTGGATGACACACACTTCCTTCACGCATTTCAAACTGGCTTCAGAGCAGGATACAGAGATGCTTGCTATCAAGGGTGCACTTTACATTGGTCTACCTGTGTACCATGTTCAGAAACTCCAGTTGGTTCCAGATTGGTTACAGGAACATCTAAGAGTGAGCACATTACACCTATCCTAATGTCACCCCACCTGGAGGGGCTGCCAATTAGTTTCTGGGCAAAGTACAATGTGTTGGTTTCGACCTTTAAAGCTCTATACGGTTTGGGTCCAGGTTAATTCCAGGATTGCCTTCTCCCGTACAATCCTCCCTTAACACTTAGGTCCTTTGTGGGGCACCTGCTCCAGCCTCCCAGAACTCGACTGGTGACCACCACCTAGAGGACCTTCTCATTGGCCACTCTCTCTCTCTCTCTCAACAGCCAGAACGCCAAGGAAAATGGAGGGGCTAAAAATATGTAAGTAACTTTCTTCTTCTGATTGGCTCAGGCAGCAGTGTTCACAGGGAAACCTATGTATGCACTTGGTTGCTGCTCTGTGCTCCATGTGTACCTGAAAGATACAGAAAGCAGTTGTTTTTGGCCACAGCATGTTTTGTGGAAGTAAAAAAAAAAACAAACAAACATGGCCATGCCATCCATGCTGTTATGGGCGATCCGACATTCAAAAATGCCAGGTGTGAAAGCTTTCGACAATACACTAAACAATCTGTTTAATTTATGTGGGGAATAACTGTTTATATCTTGAAGTAGCAAACCATTTCCCCCGTTTTTGCTGGTTAGGCCCCCTCCCCCCCCTTCCCATATCATAAACAAAGGCTGTTTCCACGAGGGGGTCATGGGTGGGGGGAATAACAGGAAAATGGTTTTCCTCCTTCAACACATCCTCCACCCCATAAAATGGACTATCTTTCTCTCTCTAGTGCTCCCTAGTGGCTTCTGCCTGGATAATGAAACAGTACCCTAACTTTAATAAATTTAAATTCAAAAGTAAAATTTCCCATATAATTCCTTTTGCTGCCTGCTGCCTTTAAAAGGCCACTTTGAAAGATCAAGAGCATTATTTAACAATACAAAAATTTGTATTGGCAGGGGAGGACAGGAACTATCCTTAATTAAATCTATATTAGAATCCAATACTTTTTTTCTAGTCTCTTAAGACCACATATAAAAGTTTCTTCCATCCAAGTTTCAGAAAAGCTTAAACATCATTTAATGCATAGTTTCAGATTTTTTGCAGTCAATACACTGTCTGCTGTCACAGCACCAGCTTGAAAGAAAATTAACTGGCACATACAAATCTGCTGAAGGTGCTGGAAAGCTACCCAAACTATTTCTCAGATGGAAGGAGATAGTACTCTCTCGTAAAGCTAAAGAGATAAGAATTCACTATCAAAAGTTTCTCCTGTGTACACTCTGTCTACAAGAAGACAGTGATTCCTACTCTTGTGCATGTTTAGATTCCTCTGCAGTTTGAAGTCAAAGGGGTAGAAGACTGGAATGAGGCATTCATTATCAATGAGGGGGTGACATATTGATAGTTTCACTTTGTTGTAAGCAATTCTAGCTTGTGAACAAATTGCTTGCACACAGATTGATAGTATTTAAAGAAAGTATGAATAAAGATGTAGAATTTATCAGTAATAAAAAGGGATGCTACTTTCAAACACGGTTATTATTACATACAGACTTCAAAGGATAGTTTGAATCTATACAACATCAGAATCTGGTACGAGCTAGAAACTTTTCCTTGTGTATGTTTCATGGAATATGATGCTTAGAACACAGGAGGAGAAACCAAGCCATAACATTTTTGCTTCACCATTTTTTCACAGTATATCATGGGTGGTCTAGAAGCAAAACCCAGCATGTTGTCAGATAACCAATAATTACAGATAGCCTGGTAAGTAATGCAAAAAAAAAAAAAACCTTGGAGGAATTCAGCATTTATACTCTTTGACCCTAAATTCTCATCAGATGTGATGGTATCTGTAAGAGCACTTCCAAATAACAAAGGCTAACATATGTGTCCTGTTTTATTGCTTAATAAAATAAGTATTTAGGCACCTCCTAAATTCAGAGAATAGAATTTGGAGGGAGAAGGAAAAAGGCATGATGTGATGATTGCATTATTTCAGATAAAATGGAGCACACTTATTCAGCAATTTATTATATTCATGTCTGCATTCTACTCTCCTCGTGGGCTGGCAAATTCTTTGCTGATATATCCTTATCTCCCCCCCCCCTCCCTCTTTCTTTTTCTGTCTTATTTTGCTGATCATCAAATTCTCTTCTTCTTCCCTGGGCAAAAAAAAAAAAAAAGATGTTTCCTCAGTAGCCAAGGAGAATCTAAAATAACAATTCAAGAAAACTGCAGGCTGTCCTAACCCTTTTTTACAGAGTTCACGCAATTTGTACCATTTAGCTGGAAGTTGATATTAAATATGCTCCCTTTCTAATATTTTTAATGCAGCATTATCACATATATTTAAACTCGCTCTAGATATACTCTAGATTCTTGTGCAATTTTTTTCAGAATGCACATCATGTTGAAAAATCCCTGGGACTTTATAAATTCTCCATGCCACAATTAGACAATGTGTCCTAAGAAATAATGAGTATTCTATATACAATCTCAAGTCTCAAAATATTTTTAAAATGCCAACCTTAAAATCAGACTGCTTAAGGGAAATTAATGCTCCAATATTATACACCCACTCACTTGTCTTGTTTGTGATGATAATCACCTTTGGACAAATGTTAAGGGTCTATAATGTGTGGGAATTATAAGAACAACAGTAATTCATTATTGATATTACATTTGACTTTCTCAACTTCAGGAAAATTCTGCAAATTAGATTACTCTCACCAGTTGCCTGCAGATAAGAGTCTGAGTGAAATAGTTGCTTGGTTTGAGAAAAATACTAAAAAGATTTACCAAAGTTGTGGCCATGCTTATTAGGGCTGGGCGGTTTCGTTTCGTAATTTCGTAATTCGTTAAACATTCGTTATTTTTTTAAATAACGAAGCGATAACGAACCATTCAGGAGCAACAAAAAATGAAACGAATTTTTAAATTCGTTTCGTAATTGGTTCGAATTCGTTTTGTATTCGTTTCGTTATCGTTTTGAAATCGTTTCGTTATTATTTCCGCATGTCTGGGGCAAGTTTTATAGTTGTTGTTTGTTTAATCAGTGAAAAAAATTTATAAATATCACACTAACAGTCAACAACAGAGGGAGAGGGAAGCTTCAGAAGTTCCCCCTGTCCCATTTGGAGGTTTTTTAGGGTATTGCGCGGTCGCGTCCGCCATTAACGAATCGATTCGTAATTGTTTCGTATTGTTTTGTAATTTACGAAATTTCATAAATATCGAACTTTTTAAAAGAAAAATTTCGGAATTCTTTTAAAAATCAAAATGCAAAAACCCCCAAAAAAATGAATCGATTTTAGAAACAAATTTTTCCGTGGTTGCCCAGCCCTAATGCTTATAGACAGAAGAATAAATCTATACACTGCCTATAATAGTGTTGTAAGCATTCACATGTGAGTCCTTTCTATCCAATTTGTTCATGAATCTGCAATTTGCTAAAAGCAAAACCTCATGAAAATTTGAATTTCTTTCTGAACTCAGCTTAATTCACATTATCATTCATGTGTACAAAACATTGGCTAACAATTACTGAATAAAATTAAGATAAATATGAAAATTTTAGTGTACATATTAAATACGT